AATTGTCAAACAAAATGCATTCCTTTAATTAAAGACAGAGGACAAATGTTAATTAAAAATTTGGTTGAAATACATTTTAAAAGTGGCCAATGAATGTTACATAAATATATACACATACATACATACATACATACATACATACATACATACATACATACATACATACATGTGCTGAAGTATTAGAACTTCAGCACAGTTTATTTAGAGTATACAGGAGTGGCATTGATTTAGCAAAAAGGGCTTTAGAGGAGGCAATAACAATTACAATTCCTTTAGGGAAAGGGGAAGAAAAATCATTTATTAAGAGGAAAGAAATTGAAAATGGCAAAAAAGGTGGAATGAAGATAAAAAAGGAAGAAGGTTATATAAAGTACAAAAGTCAGTATTAAATAGAAATATTAATGAGAGAAACCGAAGAGAAGAAATAATAATGATCAGATTAAGAGTAGGTCATACCTATTTAAATGACAATTTATACTTAATAGGGAGGAAAAATAATGATTAATGTGAAGGATGTGGAGAGATAGAAAATGCAGATGTATTGATGAACTGCAAAACATATGAACCTGAAAGGAAGAAATTGAAAAGAGTTGAAAGGACAGGCCAAGAATGGAGTCCTAAAGGATTATTGGGAAATAAAGGAAATATAAAAGATATTTATAGATTAAGGAAAGCATTATTTATTTATCTTCAGAATACAAAATAAAAAAATAGAATTTAGGAGCTAGGCGGAGCGAGACATGCATCTGGCTGTTGTCAGGTTAGTAGGCCCTAGCTGTCAGGTCATGGTGTCGCGCGCACTGATACGAACAGAGAGAAAATAGGACCAAGTGATAACGACGTGTGACTTTTTCCACTACAATGTTTTTGGGATGCAAAAATATCGCTCTTTTGAACACATAATGTTTTGGGAAGAGAAACGTTTTATTTCGCTGGGTCTAGCAAACCTGCCGGACTACTTTCGGCTTGACCAAAGCTGGACGAGAACTCTGCTCACAGGATGCTGCCAGGGGTAAGTCAGTGTGATTGCATGACACTGGTGATGGGGATGCCATACAGATTCATGTCAAAAATCCCAAACTATCCCTTTAATAGATGTAAAACAATGTTGCTACACACTCATGAACAGTAGGTGGCGGTATGCCCGCCCCTTCCCTAGAGCCCGGTGGGATCGAAAACATTTTGAATGGAAATCAGTGGGGAGAAATCAATAAACTTTTGGTCCCAGTCGCTCTCTGTCACTGATTCCTGATATGCTGGTTGTGTATTTAAATTGTTTTGGGTTTTTTTTAGTTCCTCTTTGGTCAAAATCTGGTCAAAACCCATCAATGAGATTGCACCAAACAGGAAGTTAAATGCACAAAGGATCCGGTAGATTTCCAAATAAAACACATCCGATCTTAACCCATGATCCTTTTTTTAACTAGTTTAATTAGTTTCTCCCGTATGCCACGACGTAATGCATTGATCTGAAAATCAACCTCAGACGCAACGCACGCAGTGGCGAGGGTTTGATCCGTCAGATGGAGTTAAATCACAAAGAATTCAATGTTGAATCGGGGCGGCAGCTAAATGCTAGGCGATGGGTAGCAGCCAAAACGTTGCAATTTCACATAATCCTGACGAGATCCGAAAAACGTAGCAAAAACTAGCAAGCGGGTGATTATGTATGTTCACTAAGTAAATATTATGTAAATAAACCCTACACTTCTCGCTATAAATGTAATCAAAACCCATTTATATGCAGAAACTGATTGAAATTATTGATTTTTCCACTAAAAGTTAGAGAAATCTCAGCCATGTTTATACCAAAACGTTACAGTTTCACATTATCTTGAAAAATCTTTGCAAGAAACGAACAAGCAAGTGAATATGTACATTCCCTGAGTAAATATTCTGGCAACAAACTATACATTTCTCACTAGAAATGTAATCAAAACTCATTTTAATGCAAAAACAAACTCAAGTCATTAATCTTTCCACAAAAAAATGAGCGAATGTCGGCCATATATATATATATTTTTTTCTTCTTCTCCCAGCTGGAATCTTGAAAGTCACGTGACTAGGACGTACAACAATAGAAAGCGTATAGGCAGAAGAAATGTAACAGTACCACAAAAAAAAGGCCATTAATGTACCTCCACTACGTTTTGCAGTGTGGACCAACGTAGTGGGGGTACATTTTCCCATGAGACTGGGTTGGTTTTGACAGTAAAAGTTGTGTAAGTCTAAGTCTAATTCACTTTATTTATATAGCGATTTGTTCAAAGTTTTATATCTAAGGAAAACCAGCTGATTGCATCGACTCATCGACTTCGTAAACAAACAAACAAAAAAATGCAGAAAATACAACAGTACGACATTTTAAATAAATCAATGTTTAATATTTAAATTAGTCTGGCTTTGGTCAGAGCTACAGGAGACAACAAGACAGGAGTCTGCTGAGGAAGAAAGGCAAAGAGATAAAGCTCTTTAGAGATGAAAAGCTTCATTCTGTTTATCAATAGCTCCACATTTATTCACAGATTGTGATTTTTAAGCTCCTGGTGTATAACCTAAAAACAAATTTGGTGTCTTATATAAATACATTGGTGTTTACTTCCTTAAAGAAGTCAGAATTTAATTTTAATTTGCAAAAATTAAAACCAAAATGATAAAAATTTGAACTATCTGTTTCTATTTGAAGTTCATGCTGTTTACACTGTAAACCCAGATTTTGTTTGTACTCAAAGAGACTGAGTTCATAGTACTTAGAGAGGTCTAATTTACTGACATTACTTGTTTATTTCAATTAAGCTGAACTTTTTTATGTCCTTTTTCAGTGTAATTATATTTTTAAGTACAATCAATGGTTTGGACTTAAACAAACTAAGTTAGTATCACTAAATTCTTTATATTAACTATTTTTTCTGAGTAAACGCCACTTTCCAATGATCTAGCTTATTGTAATTATGTATTTGAGCTCAGACAACTCAATATCATTAGTTTGCCTCTCACGTCATCCACCTGCCCGCGAAAAATCCAGTTTAGACCAGTTTTGAGCGAGTAAAATAGAAAAGCTGGCACTGAGGAACTCCGAAGCATTTTAAGACGAAACAGACGACAACGTTATTGAGATCTTCAACAACTTATAACAAGGAAGTCATTCCACAGAAATTTAAAGCACTCGGTGAATGAAGTGAGTTCAGCCACAAAACGGTAAGTTTAATCTCTTGTTTTGCTACTTAGCAAAGGCTACTTAGCTAATGTTAGCTTGTTAGCTATCTTGCTTGGTTAGAAAAGCTATTTTTCAGTTACTTTAAGAAGCTTTACACTATTAACTGTTATTTTCCTCACTCCACAGAAGGAAATGATTGTTTAACTGATTCTTTTTAATTTTTGTTGATGTGATTTGTATGCATACATAAAAAGGCACCATCCAAAACTGTATCATGTGCCTCTTATGATTTTTTAACTACTTTTGCACTCATTTCTGAACTAGGCAGGGGGTGAACACTTGACAGGTCAGACATGTGGGCTGCATAACTATAAAGGCTTTTGACTGCAAGATGTTAACAAAGTCATGTACTGTTATTTCTTTCAGGACAATGATGAAGAAAGTTTGCACAACAATGTTCCTGTGGGGGTCCTCTGCAATGAACAAGAAAATATAACTCCACACAAGCAGTCCATTCACCATAATGTATCCTCAGTGGGAATTATCCTGGAGGGAAATGTAGTGATGGAAGTTGAGAGCCTTCTGCAGGCCATGTACACGGTCTTTGGACTTACCTATGCACTCCACCTCAGCTACCCAAAGTACATGAAGAACACCTTTGATTTTTTTCAGCAGGTACTTCTTAACTTGGGTAAGACAGATCTGAAGCCTAAACTTCAAACAGTTAAAAATCAGCTTGCCATGTAAGATCCAAGATCTCCTCTCCCCAACTTGTTAAATGTCGTTTTATGTTTTCATTAATTTGCAGTTAAATGATTTACGTTAAATTTTCCTTAAAAGAAGAAAAAATAAATTACAAATGTGGTCACTGGTTAATTTCAATTATTAAAATAGAGAATGTATAGAAATGAGGAGAGGTGTGTGGGGGGGGGGATAAAGTGAAAGACCAAAAAAGATATAGGGATAGAAAAAGCAAAGGGGTCATGGGAAGGGACAGAGAGGGGAGAGGAGAGTGTGGGTTCTAGATGAGCATCTACTGCTAGTTTTATTTGTCATCCTTTCTCTGTATCATTTGTGCTATCTTGAAAAATATTTTGGTTAAGTTCACAAATGCCAAAATGGAAAATGGGGTTTGAGAAGGTGTAGAGGTTGAAAGGAAGAGTATGGCTGGTACCTGCTCTTTGTTTTCCTTCACCCTCCTGTTCTTTATTTTTTCAGTCTCAACCCCTTTTTGATTTCTTCTTAGACAAATTTATTTCTAATTTTTAGGATTGCCAGAGTTTAGCAGGGCCTCAGTTTATCTTGCCTGTATCTCAGTCACATTTATAGAGCCACAGCACAATTTTATAATGATTGAAGATGAGTGAGCTTTGTGCTTTGTAATCACTGAGGAATATGCTAATTTAAAATCTTTTGGGCTTTGAATTTTCTTTTGTGGATACAAATAAAATGTTCAATGAAAACAATAAAACGTTGAAGTGGAATGTATTTTGTACAGCTCTATTAATTTAATACGTTTTGAGTTTTGTGAACTAAAAAATATAAGTTTGGTCAATTTGAATGCACAATTTAATTGAACTAAATGCAGTAATGCCTACTTAACAAGCTAAGTTTAATTGACAGGTGTTAAGCTGTTGCTCAAACTACATATCGTCAGTTACTACAACTTGATTACCAGTAAATACAACTTAAATATTAGATTCCAATCCATTAGGGGCTCAAGTACATTTAACATAGTTTACTTCACTCATACAACTAATACCACATTGCTTAAATTTTTTAAGGCAACGAGTTACCTTGATTTTTTTTAAGTACATTCTACTTATCCGGGTTTACAGTGTATATTGTAGATATTATACATCAGCATTATTCAGTGACATTTTTACATCCAAATATTTGTAAATAAAACAGAGGTGCAACTCTAAAATGAGTGGGTGTGGATTCAGAGTTGACTTGGAGATGATTTGGAGTACAGTTTTAGGTATGAGCTCTGCCCATCTTCCAATCTTTCAAGCCGGCGTACGTGAAGGAGGAAGTTTGGCTTCGAACGAGCCCATGGTGTTGAGGGTCGCATGGATGCGGAAGTGCAGCCTGGACTCCATGCTGTAGTCCCTGTAGTTGTTCCTGCAAACAGAATCACCTGGGGGTTAATCGTTTGTGTAACCTGGGAGTATCTGGGTAGACTGGCTAGCACCAGCAAATGGCTGAGTTTATGTCATTTAGTTGCAGCTTGTTTACAAGTCTGAGATGTGATTTCCTTAGATTTTTGGTTAGTTTATTTGAAAGAAACCTTAAAAACACTTACTTTGCATTTTCAATGACTGTGATGGCCTTATTAATGTCACCTTTCAGCTTGTGCAGCAAACCCAGCTCATACATGGTAAATGGTACCAGATAGGTTTCGTGCTTTATTTCCTTCTCACTGCATGAAAGACAAAGAAACAACAGAGGGTCTAAGTCATTAACAGTAGACGATATAATAGGCACACATTTCAATCAGCATTGAACCAGTGGGAGTGCCGTGAAGCCCTTTCCTGGATCATCTCTGATAGCTGAACCTCATAAGCAAAGGACACATCTATGATCAAAAATGCATCTTTGGGGTTTCAGCTTCCAATTAGTGTTAAACAGGCACACTCATTCTGGTTTAAACGGCTAAACACCAACCCAAACAAATCAACAGATTTAACAACCAAAAAGAATGATAGTTGGGTTTTTAATTTGTATCTGACTTTGAATGTGCTTATGAGGATGGACCTCATGTACCTTTAAATACAGACATTTTTTTTTTTTGTGCAACTGAAGGAATTGAGAAAGACTTCTAATGGGTGCCGAAATGTCTTCAGAAAAACAGAGTAAAAGTCGGCCTGCCTGGTTTTTCGGATTGTTGTTGTCATGAACAAGATGAGTTAGAACAGGCATTTCCAATAGAAATAGGAATGGCTGTTGTAACTGAGTCCTTTAAGTACTAGAAATAAGAGCTTTCAAAAATAGTTAAGTAATTGAAAATCTGGAATTTTTTAACAATGCATTTATAGTTGAGAAACCTGGGAAGAATCTCTGCAAGATTTTAGAGATCAGTAACTCTAAATATATAACAATGATGCATTTGTCTTATGTAGTTATAATTTTAGATGCTAAATGATGATTTACATCTCAGGCTTTCATTTGTCGCACCGCTGGTGGGTTGGTGGCATGGTGGAGGATAAGAAGCGCTTGTACTTCCTGAGGAAGATGAGGAGCCCCCACCCATCCTCACCACCAGAAGCACCATAGAAAGCGTTCTGACCAGCTGTCCCACTGTGTGGTGTTGAGGCTGCAGCGCCTCAGACTGGAAGAAGGTGAGAAGAGTTGTTCCCTCCATTAAAGACATTTCATTCCAGTGCTGCGTGTCCTGAGCCCGTAACATCATCAATGAGCCCTCACACCCCCACCATGGACTGTTCTCCCTGCTGCCCTCTGGGAAGAGGCTTCGCAGCATTCATTGCAGGTCCAGTAGATTCCAGAACAACTTCTTCCCCACTGCCATTAGACTGCTGGATGTTGTATAAAATGTTGTTTAAAAAAAAAAGCGCTGAATGTTGGACACTTTAAATCATATAGTAGTCTTATGTTTACATTTTATCACTGCTCTTATATTTTATCACTACTGCACTATAAAAATGGAAATGTCTTGAGATTTGTACTGAACGAAATTTCATTTTGTATACACTATGTGTACAAAATGACAATAAAGTCTGTCTAAGTCTATAGTCTAAGTCTAAGTCATTCTGCACCTATGGAGCCTAAAGCGGAGCAAATCACAGTCACATTAGAGGTCTTTTTTCAATGGATCTACTTAGGCTGGCCTCACTCCATTCAGCCAGCCTAAGAAGCACTTTTATTACAATTTTATTCCTTACCAGGCTGGCTGGTTTGAAGAGGCCCAGAGGGTGGTAGGAAGTGAGCTGAGTAAGGCTAAAATGTGACCTGACCATTAATTATAAGCAGGACCAGGATTAATTAGCTTTTGGTTGAGAAAGTGCAGCAGAAAGTTAAACCAAAGAGGGATTAAACTAATATTAAGGTGCACCATAAACAGAACATGTCAAGCAGTAATATATTTCTGCTGTTGACAGACTAATAACCCTGCTTGAAGGAATAAAGAACTAGAAAAAGACACATTAGCTCTCAGCTTTGTTTTAGTAGGATGTATTTATTGACTATAGGCCTGATACTAGGACAGTTTCAGCATCTTAAAATAGATGCAAACACGTTTGTACGCTAGAGCAGATCTTCAAAGAAGGCTCAAAGTGATAGAAGTTTGCAGTTCAGCATTTGGAAACCATTTTTCCCCATGTGACACTTCATCAGAGATGGCAAAAGTACTCACTTTCCGTACTTGAGTAAAAGTACAGATACTTGTGTTAAAAAATACTCTGGTAAAAGTGGAAGTACAGATTAAACTTCTTTACTCAAGTAAAAGTAACAAAGTACAGGCTTGTAAATGTACTTAAAGTATAAAAGTAAAAGTAGAAACCACTTTTTTCATGCCGTTGCCTACATTTTAAATGGATGTCTGCCAATAGGACTAGATCTCTGTTGTGTTCATTTTCAATCATCTCGTCGTTCATACTACTATGCTAACGCCACCGCCACCAAGCTGCAATAATTTGCCGCCAATGAATACCGCCGAATCTGTCGATTCATCTTGTAGTGGTGCGTCAAATACAACGTAGATTCCCATCCAATTAGATTGAATTTGGTATTGATGACGTGAAAAATAATAATGGTAACTCCATTGAAATGATTCAAAACTAAAGTAACGAGCCAATTTTTTAAAATGTAAGGAGTAGAAAGTACAGATATTTGTGTAAAAATGTAAGGAGTAAAAGTAAAAAGTCACCATAAAAATAAGTAGTAAAGTAAAGTAAAAATATCAGAAAAATCTACTTGAGTACAGTAATGAAGTATTTGTACTTCGTTACTTCCCATCTCTGCACTTCATTGATATGGATCCATTGATAAGGACGTATTGGGACAATGCTAGAGTGTGAGGAGATATTTTGGGCGTATGTAAACATATATGGAGTGTCAGAATTTTTATAATAGTGAAAGAATACCAAATGGACTGCAAAAGAGGTGTGTGTGTGTGTGGTGGGGGTATCTTTCGGTTAAATACAGGTGCTGGTCATAAAATTAGAATATCATGAAAAAGTAGATTGATTTCAGTAATTCCATTTAAAAAGTGAAACTTGTATATTATATTCATACATTACATACAAACTCATATATTTCAGGTGTTTATTTTGTTTAATTTTGATGATTACAAATGACAACAAATGAAAATCTCAAATTCATCATATCAGAAAATTAGAATATTGTGAAAAGGTTCAAAATTGATGGCCCCTGGTGCCACACTCTAATCAGCTAATTAACTCAAACCACCTGCAAAAGCCTTTATATGGTCTTTCAGTCTAGTTCTATAGGCTACACAATCATGGGGAAGACTGCTGACTTGACAGTTGTCCAAAAGACGACCATCGACACCTTGCACAAGGAGGGCAAGACACAAAAGGTCATCGCTAAAGAGGCTGGCTGTTCACAGAGCTCAGTGTCCAAGCACATTAATAGAGAGGCGAAGGGAAGGAAAAGATGTGGTCGAAAAAAGTGTACAAGCAAGAGAGATAACCGCACCCTGGAGAGGATTGTGAAACAAAACCCATTCAAAAATGTGGGGGAGATTCACAAAGAGTGGACTGCAGCTGGAGTGAGTGCTTCAAGAACCACCACACACAGACGTATGAAAGACATGGGTTTCTGCTGTCGCATTCCTTGTGTCAAGCCACTCTTGAACCACAGACAGCGTCAGAAGCGTCTTGCCTGGGCTAAAGAGAAACAGGACTGGACTGCTGGTGAGTGGTCCAAAGTCATGTTCTCTGATGAAAGTAAATTTTGCATTTCCTTTGGAAATCAAGGTCCCAGAGTCTGGAGGAAAAGAAGAGAGGCACTTCATCCACGTTGCTTGAAGTCCAGTGTAAAGTTTCCACAGTCAGTGATGGTTTGGGGTGCCATGTCATCTGCTGGTGTTGGTCCATTGTGTTTTCTGAGGTCCAGGGTCAACGCAGCCACATACCAGGAAGTTTTAGAGCACTTCATGCTTCCTGCAGCTGACCAACTTTTTGGAGATGCAGATTTCATTTTCCAACAGGACTTGGTACCTGCACACAGTGCCAAAGCTACTAGTACCTGGTTGAAGGACCATGGTATCCCTGTTCTTAATTGGCCAGCAAACTCTCCTGACCTTAACCCCATAGAAAATCTATGGGGTATTGTGAAGAAGAAGATGCAATACACCAGACCCAACAATTCAGAAGAGCTAAAAGCCACTATTAGAGCAACCTGGGCTATCATAACACCTGAGCAGTGCCACAGACTGATCGACTCCATGCCACGCCGCATTGCTGCAGTAATACAGGCCAAAGGAGGCCCAACTAAATACTGAGTGCTGTACATGCTCATACTTTTCATGTTCATACTTTTCAGTTGGCCAACATTTCTATAAATCCTTTGTTTTTATTGTTCTTCAGTAATATTCTAATTTTCTGATATGATGAATTTGAGATTTTCATTTGTTGTCATTTGTAATCATCAAAATTAAACAAAATAAACATCTGAAATATATGAGTTTGTATGTAATGTATGAATATAATATACAAGTTTCACTTTTTAAATGGAATTACTGAAATCAATCTACTTTTTCATGATATTCTAATTTTATGACCAGCACCTGTAAATCATAACCTTCATGCATGGGTTCCTTGTTTTGGAGTATGTGGTGTGAAGCAGTTGTTAAGAGGGACTGGTGGATATAAATCCAGATGTTTGGAGCATAATCTGCTCTAATGTAAGCTAGCAGACAAAAACAACTTTCGCATTTATGATTGTATTTTATATATTCATATTAGACCTTAATTATTGTCAGTTTATATTTTTTACTCTTGCCCGTAGCTATAGGTAGCCTACAGGATAGGCCACCTATTTCAGGTGCACAATAAATATTATTTAGTTTTTTTTTTTTTCTGGTGAAGATTCTCATTCATCCAGGTCATAGTTATTCCAAAAAATGTAAAAACCTATCCACTGGACTTTGTTTCCAAGTTTGAGGATGTTTCGCTTTCTATCCAGGAAGCTTTTTCAATTCAAAATGTCAGGTAAAACGTTAAACTCAACCCAGCCTCTCTACAGGTGAGAGGCGGGTTACACCCTGGACAGGTTGCCAGTCCATCACAGGGACACAGAGAACACACACTCACACCTAAGGAGAATTTAGAGAAGCCAATTAACCTAACAGGGAATCGAACCGAGGACCTTATTGCTGCAAGGCAGCAGTGCTAAGCACTGCCCCACTGAGCAGCCTCTGTGAAAATGCAATGAATAAAAAAGAAAGATTGAAAAAAAGGCTTATTATTTTACTGTATTTCTTATTTATTCATTGTTAAACACAGTAAATACAATAAAATAATCAGCTAAACACATAAAAACCCTTGAGCTTAAGTTATACTTTAATGGAATCAGTTGTGTATTAAAGTAGATGAATAAAGTTTTTGATGAGAACTTTTAATGCATCCAGAGTTTTAGTTACAGTAGCAACCATTCAAAGTGGCCCTTCCCAATCAAACTCCAGCCGAATAGCAGCATACTTCCGGCCACTGCAGTGACCCCCTCCTTCTCCTGGGCGTGCATATTTTTTCCCTCTGACTCCACCCTTTCACTGCATTACAGGGTCTGACCAGGAGATGAAGCTTCTCTTCAGATCTCAATGTCCACAAATCATGACAGAAAGAATATTTTAGAACAAAGATTGATATTTAATAAAGGAATCTTAGGGGACTAGCCAAGGGCCCATCGAGGAAAGTGGGGAGATTTTGAATAGCTACTATTGTAGTTAGTAAAGATGTGAACTCACCTGGAGATGACGAAATTGAAGCAGATCTCAGCCTGAACCAGGCGTCCCAGCTGCGTTAAACACAGCCCCTTCAGCAGCTGCACCACGCACAGGTCATCCATGTGGTAATCTGTCGGCGCTGAATCGTTCCTGAGATTCTCTTCTGCTTTCTCCAGTGTCGACAAGATGTTCTCGGTCAGCTCTGGCCTTTTTCCGACTACTGTGAAGCCGTTCCACACATACATCATTTCCTGCCAGACAAGATTTTTGGTTTATTGCAGTAAATGAAACAGAAAAAAATAACAGTTCATTAACAGATTGTGATCATGTGTTCATGTTCTGACCAAAGCAGGGACCACAAGCTTCAGAGGGATCGGGGAGGAGTATCTCTGGGCCTTCTTTGCGGCGAACTTCTCGGTGGGAATCGATTTTCCTGCGATTCTTAATCTGAGCCCTTCCACCTGCCTACAGACCAGACCTGATTTAGTTCACTTCCAGACATACAGCAATTAAATTGTGGATTTCTTTGCAAACCTGAACAGTTCCACTACATTTTCTCCCAGCTTGTCCACTTCTTCCTCTGGAAGCATGCTTAAGATAGCTGCTTTCTGAAACACATATGTGGCCTAAAAGATACAGAAACCAACAGCTAATTAGATGAACTCAAGAAAATCTGACATACTGCTAAGAAAAAGATCTAAGAAGTCCCAGCAGCTACCTTGGACCACTTGTTCTCCTTGCAGAGCAGGTCGGCGTATCGATACGCCTCGACCCAGTTTTGTTCAAAAGAGTATGCCCACATCAGCTCCCAGTAGCACAGGTGGTGAATCTGACGCCACTCTTCCTGGGTTGCTATGCATGCCAGGAACTTCTCCTGAGCCTGCAGAAAAAGAACAGGCATACATTTACAGTACAAACCCACACGTGGAAGAAGGTGCAGACACTAAACACTCACGAATGTGAAGTTCCCTTTAAGCACAGCGATTCTGGCGGTGTAGAAGAGCATCAGGGCTCCCTGTGGAAAAACAATGCCTTAGATTAAATCCAGGTTATTTAAAATAAATTCAGTCATTGAATGAATGTAGGTTTCCATGTCTGTTAATACAATCCTGGTAAATACTAGTAAGTACTAAAGGGTTTTTCTAATAAAAATGCAATTATTAACTCATCTAGAAGCAGATGTTTGGGCAATATCCAGATGTGTATATACAGGACTGTTTCAATATATATTGAAAGATTGAAGAAGAAATCCTCTTCTTTCTATCACAGAATAGGGCAGCATCACCTAAGTTTGCTAAATTACTTATGATTCACCACAACATTCTTAGAAAAGTTTCCGTCACACAAATCAGTTTTTTTCATCAGGGCATTAGGAAAAGCATGAAACAAAAAAAAGAGTGATAGTTACAATTGAAATATAAGTTAGCCACTTTTTGGCTCTGCAGTGAATTGAAATATCAGTCCCACTCAGTTTAAATAAAATCTGATGTTGATCCCACTGAGAACTCATTTTTCCTGCATTCAAAATATAAATTTTACCTAAAATAAAAAATCCCTTATCATGCAAAAGAATAAGAACCTGAAATAATTATCTTCTAAATAAATATCTACTTTAATTCAAAGGTAATATTGTTGCATGATCACATGATGTTTCTCACAGTTATTGGTGAATTCGACCTCATTGGTTGAGATACAAATAATGAATGTGGCCAGAAATGTGACATATCCAGCAAAGTTGATGCAAAAAAAGGGTTTTACTCAATGCTGAGCAAGATAGTAACGCAAAAAGTCTGAAGCTTCTAATATTGAAAAAATGAAGAAATTGTGAAGTATTTGATTATAAAAACTAGGCTGCACTTTAGAAGTCCTGAAATATAAACATCTCTGTAGTCACAGTTGGGCCAATGGGAAATATTGGCTTTTACAAAAGTCTTTTGAGTTAAAGATAAAATAAGGCTATTATTTTCAATATTAGACTTAGACTTAGAGACAACTTTATTTATCCCTTTGGATAAATCCTGGTTCCAGTAGCTTATATAGAGTACAAAGATTTAAAGCAAAAACCCATTAAAGATAAAAATATGACAGACAATATAAAAAGAGTGTATACAGTACCAAAAAAAAAGAAAAAAAAAAAGAAAAAAGTTGTAATGTCCACGAATACGGTATGTTTCCTTTAGATATTAAATATGTGCACAGCAGAGAGCTAAGGAAAGACTACACAGTAGTTGACTTGGATTGTTGCATTTGTACTGCAGAGATCTACTGACCATATAAATAAGTAAAATAATGGCACAGGCTACACAATAGCTGACATGTGCTATTGCACAGTGAGAGAAAAGAATATCACACATGAGTGACGATAGGTAAGGTTTTGCATAAGGTGTCCAAGGAGGGGGGTGTTGACCCTCGTCCCTCTTCCTATCACCTCCTCCTTCCCCCAGTGAGGAGTTCAGCAGTCTATTGGTCCTGCATTTAGGGAGGAGCAATCTCCCAATGATCAGGCTCCCCTGAGTATTGAAGACAGTGTGCAGAGGGTGGCTGGCATCTTACGTCAATGTACATTCAATTTGGGAATATTATGTATTTTGTCTTATTTTATGTGAAAAATCATCAGTTAATAAAATAGAATTAAAACTTAAGCAAAACAGCTGAACTTAGCCAGGACATATTGGAGTCAGTTATTTTTTCTATTTGTTTCAAAATAAAATTCATCTGATAACAATGATGATCCTATCCTTTGACTGAAGCTATCATTTTGATTTTTAAATCATAAATGCAACAGAAGATAAAATTAAATTGGTTCAATCTGTTACTGTTTCTCTTCCAGGACTAATCAGCATGATTTGGTGTTCCGTTCAGGGGCCATAAAAGGGGCCAGAACCAGTCTTACAGGAAAACTGGCCCCTGTTGGCCCCAGCATAGAACCGCCAATCTGGGACGCTACTGAAATGTACCCGGTAGAACCACTCTGATAAAATAGAAACTCCACATCCAGTGGTCATGGTTCTACAAAGTGTTGAATCATGGAGTGAATTAGTTTATCTACAATTAAATTAATAGAAGTTTTATTATTTTCCCCATGACTTTACAGTATCTTACATTTGGAAACTTCTCAGCATACGGTTTAAGCAGAGCTTCAGCCTCAGGAAGGTTTCCTTCACCAGTACCTGGGGAAAAACGAAGATTAACTTCACCATCTCCAGCAAAAAAAATCAACTTCACATAGAGAAACGTTTTCTCACCAAGAATCACACTCATATAGAGGTGAAACATGAGCAGAGTCAAGGTGCTGAGGATGGAACGCAGGCTGTTGCTTGCCGCCCCTTCTCTCAGCTGCGCCAAACCCAGCTCCTGCAACATATTCAAACATGCTAACCCTGGCACTAGGTCATGGCAAAGCAAAGGTTCTGAACTGCACAGAGTTGCATGCCCTACCCTGTCTCCAGAGAAGCCCAGAAACTCCATGAGTCTGAGGACTCTGGATGGTAGCATGGACAGTATCTGAAAATACACATAAAACTGGGTGGTTACTGGATTATCTGGAGAAGCCGGGTCAGGATTATGTTTTCAATTATTTTTTATTAGCCGAATGTGTCATAAAGCAGGAAATACCGTCAGTTTCACTTCCAGTATGTATATGAGGTGGGAGAATTTTCTGCAGTACAGACAAAGGGTTTGCATAGCTTTGCTTGAGTTTAACAGAGCTTTAACAAGAAAACTTAAAAAAAAATTGGGCTCACTTTTAATTGCATCTCACCATTTTAGTTACTATCACAAAGAAAAAAAATAAATAAACAAATTAGTCAAATATGATATAAAAACCACATAGATGGGCGTGGCCTGTCTACAGTGGTATGGACTGTGGGATGACCAGTGTTCTCTCTGGCTAACCTTCAAACATCTTGGCTTACTGAGATAACATTAATAATATAGGTAATTAATAAATAATTATTCATCCATCCATTTTCCATCACGCTTATCCCTGCTGGGTTTGCAAAGGTTGCATTATTATTCATAATACTATTATTTATTATTGTCATTATTATTATTATTTGTTTTAATTACCACTGAGTCATAATATTTTCATTTTGAACAGAGTCCTTTTTTATTTGCTGATCCCTCTACATTTTTATTTGCCCATTTTGTTCTTTTGTTCTATAGACATTGCCCTCTAGCTTTACTTACCAATTTATTACATATATTATCTTTAATATACATATAACTTTCTTGTTTTTTATTTTTATTTTGGGTCATTAAAATGATTGCTGTTATATTTGCTTCTATATCTTATTGTTTTGCTTTTATCTGCATCTACATTTATTTCAGTATTAACTACAGTACATACTCACCTTTTGTTATATTAGCCCTCCTCCTTTCCCCCCTTCTTTATCTTACTGTAACATAACATCCCTTTCTCTTTTTTAAATGCACATATGGTCACAATTTGCCAGAGTCCAGCTTCTGGAGCAAATTAGATGAGCTCATCCCAGAACCTGAAATGGACCAGAGAATCATATATTGGCATGGTTACACCTGCAAGGTGTCTGAAAAGTATCTGCACTCAGTTTCACGTTAAAAACTCCTGGAGGAATGTTTAAATCAAAATGAGATGTTTGAGTGGTGGTGGCATGGGTGCTGGAGCAGTGGTCCACATTGCTGGTATTGATGTTGCTCAGGAGCTGCAGTGAGATTTTAAACTGGTCTAAATCCTTTGTTGAAGCCTGTCTATTGCAGCGATTAAATTATTTATGCAGGAAGGTTAGGTATGTAGGAAGGCGACGCTGGTGCATTGCTAAACATATGCAGGAGTACGACTGGAATACAAACCTTTACTGAGAGCAGGAACTGATTAAAAAGTGCACGTTTTGATGCTTCTGCTTTACTTGTTACTTTTATATAATGCTTAGTTTTTTGCATTTGTATCTTTGTAATTAATTAGAGTTTTCTTGGGGGGTTTTTCTGATGCAAATCTGCCGTATTTCTCTGCTGCATCAGTCTAATGCCAAAGCGAAAACAGCACACACTAAAAATAGTGGCAGAGTGGCTTTTTGTGACGAGATAAGAACATATCTGTGGGAGTCAGATTTTTTAGAAAGTGGTTAGAGCAACTCCTGGCTGACTCAGCTGATCAGGAACAAGATAGATCAGCCTTGCATGAATTCAGTTACCAGCTCACAGCTAGTGTATTAATAAGAACATTACTTGACTGCAGAAATGGTAAAAAAAAAAAATTTTTTTTAAAGCCCACTGTTTTCTGTGTTTGTGCGACTGGATAAGGATACAATTACCTGGTCCTGCACTGGCAGCTTCACTCCAACTGATTTGTTATATTTGTTTTCTTTCTATCTTTAATTGTCAGTTAAACTTCATTAGGAACTGTTGATTATTGTGAGACCAAAAATACATCTATTATTAATTTATTTATTTTTGCATTGTCTTCCATGTCTTTACTGACTGGAAGTCTTTACCAGGACTTTTTTCTTTCTTAACATTGTCCTGTGAATTATTCAGGAGTTAAAACCAATAAGTCATTACATAGCAAACAACTTTGCACATTTTCAGAAGTGTTGCACCAATACCGATAGCAGTATTTGTCGAGGGCCCGATCCAGCACTAAAATGGTGGCATCAGTATCGGCGAGTACCAACAAATACCATTTTGAGAGCCAAAAGTTTATTCAACTATTGTCACCCTTTCCAGGTAGGCAATAAAAAGTTCTACTGGATTCACTTTGTATAAGTCTTTTTCCTGCTTCACAAAGGTAGGCAGCAGCTTGAAAAAGCCATGATGGTAATTATTTTACATCCAAGTAGTATGCAGTTCTTCATATATACACACACACACACTTCTATTTCAAACAGATGGTATCGGTATTGGTATCTGGGCCAAAAAATGGCATTGGCACAACACTAATTTTCAGCTGAAATATTATGTCAATAATAGCAAGTTTGTTCCAATTTCTTTAGCTGATATTTTTCACCAGGACTGGACAGGAAAGGGAGGACATTTCCAAAATGTCAAAGCACTGTTGATTATGATAATCTGGTATCTTAGAGCAACTTTTGGTGTAACCAAAATATGTAAACACACTGCCAATGGAGAAATGTGGAGTAAATACAAAAATTACAGAAGAACACAAAAACTAGAAAAACTTACACACAAATGTAAACGAAAGAATCATTCAAATGCAAAGTGCATTCTAAATACAAATGCTACAGTAAACACACAAATGGTGCAAACACTAATCATGAGCTAAAAAATAAAAACACACTGGTGTCACAGACCTGGTTCTGTTATGTTCTTCTTTTGAGTATTCAGTTCTACTTTGCTCCATGTTTTCTAGTTTTAGTGGTTTAATTTTTATTTTGTTTTGTTTTCTGGTTGTTTTCAGTTTTTTTTTTTTTTTTTGTTGCTCTCTGCTGCCCTCTTGTGTTATCCTTTTTCCCTAGCTCCTTTCCTGTCTGCTCTGTTCTCACCTGTTCCCAATCTGCTTGTTAGTCCTCTCTTTGTTCAGTCTCCCATAAATACACTTTTTGTGCAGTTCCTCATTGCTGGTTCCTTGTCTTCCTCCAACTCCGTCTCTTTGAGTCTTCCTCATCAATATTGTTTTTTCCCCTGATGTCTCCAAGGTTTCTGGTTTGTTTGACTTTTTTCACGTTTGACTTTTTGGATTCCTGCCTCTGTTGTTTGTTAACAGTTCATTAAATCTTCAAGAAACTTACCTCTCCCTCTGCATTTGGGTCCTCAAACCCCAAACAAATCCTGACAACTGGCAAGTTAAGAAAAGCTGCAAACTTCGTCCTGATGGCAGAAGGACTCCAGACCTCCAGTGAGAGTTGAGCATTAACTCATGTTGGACTCCAGGTGTCCTCTGGGTTATTATCCCATTTCAGTTTTTTCTAAGAGTCTGTCTATACCTTAGCATGATCCGTACCATCAGCTGATTTGTGCATGCTTAACCAGATATACATCTGGATCACCGCTAATTGTACTCTATTGTTTCAAGTTTTGTGTTCACCTTTCTAATCTAATCAATCCGTCACACAAGCAATTTATCTAAGAGAATGCAAAATGTCTCTAATTCTCTCAGAAAAGTCTTAATTTTTCTTAAAGATGTAGATTAGCATTCCTTTGTGATTTAAGGATAGAAATAAAACCTTGGATGAATATCTGCTTGCACATGTAATTGAGCTGATGGTACGGATCGGGCAGTGACAGGATCAGGTAGGTAGGTAGGAGTTAATCTGTTTGATGTATATGTGTTAATGATCATTGCACCCTAGTGGTCTTCAGCACCTTTGCTATGCAGAGCCATTTTGCAGCTTTTCATAATTGAGAGTGTTGTTCCCTACTTGCTGTATTTCTTTCCTCTGCATGTGTTTTGTGTTTTTCTCTATGTGTTTTGCTACTGTCTATTTGCTGTGATTGCAGTATTTCCCCTTTGCAGCATTTTCCTTCTGCATGTTTTTTGTGCATTGTCTTTTTTTTGTGTTTGCAGCACATTTATGTATTTGCAGCACCTCTCTTGGACACCGTACAAATCTAAATAATGCAAAGTCCTATGTTGAGTATTGAATCAACAGTTTAGCTTTTTTACTTCTTACCAGGTTGAATGATCCAATGCCCATGTTTACACCGCCTCGAAAATGAATGTGTGTGCTCTTCTCTTTTTCTGCCGCTTCCATAGCATTTTCCATGTCCTGACAATTCCTGGTTAGGAGACATGTGGTATTCATGTATTAAAAAAAGAGAAAAGAAAAACTTAAAAAGTTTTTTTCTATGATTTTAGTTACTTGTATATCAGATAACTGTTCCTCATTCCCATCCCTCCTTTGATGAAACTGATTATGCTTTCATCCAGGAAAGTGAGCCCTGCCTTTTGCATCAGGACCTCAGCGTAGCATAGCTCAGCGTGCATCTCCTCTGTCAATAAGAGATCCAAAAAATTATATATATGTATACCAAAAGAAATACCACAAAAGGGTTATGTTAATTAACCCCTCCACTCACCCTCTGTCAAATTGTCCTCAGGTTGTCCATGCCAAAAATTGGCCAAGCTCTCCATTATTCCAGTTTTCCTCCGAAATCTACGTCAGGAAACAAAATGTCTTTTAAAGCATCAAAAATCTATTTCATAGTAAACATTTTCTAAAATCAACTTTTAAAATTTTTATAACTACAAAAGGGTCCACTTAAGGTTTTTATTCTATAATAAACATTTTCTTATTAGATAAACATGTCATTCAACTCTTAGATATTTATCCCTCTTTTAAACTAACGTTTTAGGTATTAGGCAACTTTATCCATTTATTAGCCAATCTTTGTTTTTTACTTGCTTGTGGATTAAGTGTGAAAAAATGTAATATTGTGTCCTGAATCCATACTGAACTCCTCACACAGCTGTAAACCCTGCATCGGGTGCTAAAAACTAGATTTTAATGTGACAACGCACAAGAAAGTGTCTTTTACACGGTTCATGGGACACACTGAGAAATTTCCACAACTTGAAAGTCATTAAATTACACATGGCATGTCATAATTATGAGAAATAAAGTCAGAAATATTTAAATATTCCAGGAATTTTATAATGTCAATATAGTTCACATTTGGCTGTTTGTGGTATAACATTTTGACTCAGATCCCAGTTCAATAAGCTTAATATTAAAGAAAATAAATATAAATAAACAAAGCTGAATTAGGTACGGCTTAAGTGCAGCAGTCTAACATCTGCAGGGTAGAAACAGAGCTTTCTGGGCCTGGTGGTCTTACTCCGGATGTTCCTCAGCTGCCAGCCTGAGTGGAGAGGCTGGACCAGTCTGAGTGCAGGATGGGTTGAGTCCTGGAGCGCCCTCCCCTTGCTTCTTGATGTGTAGGGGTCAGAGGTGGAGGCAATGCTCCCTCTAAGCTGCGCAATTACTCACTGCTCGCCCCTTTCTCAGCACACAAAATAATTTATGCAGCGCAAAAAATAAAATTTCTCTGCTGGGGTCACAGGTATACCCTGGACATGGCAACACATAAACAAACAGGACAAACCACCATTTAAAGGGACACTATGCAACATTTTTCAGTTAATTAATGTGTTCCATAACGTTATGGATGACTAAATGAGTCATTTCAGGTTGAACAAAGGTATTCTCGGCCGCCCTGGTGGTCTGTGGGGGAAATACTGCACTTGCAACTGCAGGAGCACCGACCCGCACCCACAGGCTCAGAAGTCTCGTGAGAGTCAGTCTTGCTTTACGGCGAGAACTGCTACACCCCCCAGTTAAAAGCATTCTCGTTGCTAGCACAGTGGCAATCTTTGTGCAGTTATGCTACGTTCACGCAGCAAAATCGCATCTGCTGCTTCATTTTTGCTGCTTGTACCAGTTAGTTCTGGCTGCAAAAGTGTGTCTGAGGCGCGTTGGGCGGAGCTTCACTATCCTTTCTCTGCCTTGCAGCTATATTTGCTGTGATCAGTGGGAATAAAGTAGTTTTAATATGTTTTTAAGTGAGAAAATACACCTGAAAACGTAATCAGTGCAGTCAGTTCATTCAGATTATTATCCTGCCTTCAATATTTTTTCTGTCGGAGCCGCTCAGACCCCCACATACCAGGGATGCGCCGACAGTATGGATCCCTTCATCAGCAGCGGTTCACCGCGGCAGCTGGTAGGTGTTTTTCATCTAAATAATCCAAACTGCATATTCTGCCGGCAGATTTCTGCATTTTAAGTTAATTTAGGCGTCAATAAACTGTTTAAGAGCAGTGATCATCAGCGCTGTGTCTCTCTCCCTGCGTTAAACGCACCCGACGCGCTGCTGCGGCCGCTCAGACGTGCTGCGCCTGCAGCTCAAAACACGCCGCGGGACCTTTGCATGTAAACTCGCTGCTTCTGTCGCGCCAGCTACGTCCAGTGTGAACGCAGCGTTAGTCATTCGCTGCTAAGCTCAAAACAACCGCGCCTGGCTTGACGGAGAAACCAGGAGAACAGCTGAGCATATTTACGACAGTGCACTTTTACTTTCGCCCTCTGGAGGGAGCCTCACTGGAAAATCAACACCGGTTGCATAGTGTACCTTTAAACACACACTCACACCTAAGGAGAATTCCCTAGGTGTCCCTAGAGAGAAGCCAATTAACTTAACAGTCATGTTTTTTGACTGTGGGAGGAAGCTGGAGTACCCAGAGAGAACCCACACATGCTCAGGGAGAACATGCAGACTCCATGCAGAAAGACCCCGGGCCAGGAATAAAATCCGGAACCTTCTTGCTGCAAAGCAGCAGTGCTACAGACTGCGCTACTAAATAACTGGAGAAATAACTGGGTCTATGTACACTCAGGCAATTACCTGAATGTACAAAATCGTCCTCTCCAGCTATCATAATATGGAGGAACGGAGAACAATTTTTCCTCGACATATGACATTAAATGTAACAATATTAAAAAAGTGAACGGGGAATACTTTATTTTATTTTGTTTGGGCTCTTATAGCACCTCAGCTTGCTGGATGTACTAAAGGTGTTTAGACAAAATCTGTAACCCGTCATATATTGTGACTCAAGCACCTGCTGTGATGCGTTCTGCTCACCAGTTTGCTATCTACCAACCCGAACTTTGCAGGATTCATACCCAAAACCAATATCACAAAATTAATATCTGAACCTAAAGAGGTCTATTAGAAATACATGTAGGCTCCCCCTTCGGTCACAGTATATGAAAGATTAAAATATTAGTTTTATAACAAAAAAATAACAACATTTGGATGAATATGTTTAATAATGCGTCAATGTCCTTTAAAAAAGTTTAGCAAAAGCCAAAATTCAAAGCATCAAAAAAAAGTTAGATTCATGAATAAACAATGCAACAGGAAGAAGAATATTTTGCGGCCCAAATTATTTACAAATCCAGGCTTCCAGAACAATGAAACTGACCAGTTTCTGACTGCCCTGCTATGTAAAATGCAAAGAGTTTAAGATGCACCTGTTCACCTCGAAGCTCAATGATCCGTCTGACTTTTATTTTTTATTATTGCTAAATTCAAGTAAGGGAAACAAAATCTTTAACGGGTCCATCAGCACATCCACAGATGTGGTGGCTGCAGGAGCTAAAGAAGATCTAACAGCTTCTGGATGTTAATGTTGCATTTCAAGCATCCAGTGGTGATTTTCAAAGATTAAGTTTAAGGAATCAGATCTGATCCAGAAAGCACTGAAAGCGGGATATTTGGAAAAGCATAGCAGAAGTCAAAAAGACAGATGGGAAAATTTGTCATTTTCATTTATGGACTTTTATTGTGAAATTATTTAACTGTTATGTAACTTGTATTGATAGAAAGACAAAGGAAAAACGTGTTAAATGAACAGTTACAGGGAGCGAAAATGAGTTACACTTGTGGTTCAGTTGTTAAGAAAAAAAAAAAACACATGATAGAGTGGCCTCTGCATTGAAGAGGATGCGCTTATTGTACCCTTGTTTCCGCCTAAACCCCTCCATAGTCTGTGCATGCCTCTAGTCCCTAGTGACATTGATGGAGTCCTAGATGTGGGCCGTGGCTATCCTCTCTAAATCTCACCAGCTGAGGTTTATATAGATGATTTAAAGACAAAGATTTTATTTTACAGGTCCACCTTTGCTTCCAGGCAAGTAAATTAACATATTAGTAAAATATTTAGGTTCGAAACTAAGTATTAGTTGGCAAACTAGATATTTAAATCCACACTAAACATTTAATTTGCTAAATAAATATTGACTTGGTAAAAACAAATACTTACCCTGGATTGAAAAATTTAGATTGGAACTAAATATCACATTCAAAGCTGAATATTTAGTTAATAACATTAACATTAAAGTTAAAAGTGTTGTTTGTAAATTTAATATTTAACTAAGTAATTAAATGGTAGACTCGGAAATGTGATATTTATAAATGTATGAATGATAGGTGGATTTTATGAACTCATTTTATCCCCTCTCATTTGAGGCTAAATAACTCAAAGCATTGCAGCGAATATTTGACTCTGTAGCTTTACATTTGGTAATCCATAGTGGGCTGCTTCTCTCATGCACAGCGCTAAACAAAAATAAGCACTTTGTGCTGTTTATATGCAATAAGTCATGGTCAACCAATAACATTTTCAATCATAGGAGCCTTTATATTCAGCTAAATGTCTTTTATTTATTTAATTTGATTATTAAATGTAATGTATTGAGACAGAAATGAGTGAAAATGGACATAATCTTCATTTCTGTTATCAATGCCACAACAACTGGGGTCATATTAAAGCCGTACCGCTGACAGGTGTGCAGAGCCTCCTTCATCGATGTCATGGCAACGTCCATGTCCTTGGGGTCAAAGGTCATAGCAGCCTGCATCAGTAAGATACTGCTGTAGCCCATAGCATGATACATGCTTTGACTCTTCCTAAGAAACCACAGTAAAAGGTTGGAAAGTAACAGTCAATGTTTGAAAAAGAAGTTTATTCAAAATAGTCTGTAAATTGGTTGGTTTGCAATTGTGTGCCTTTTTTGTATATTTTTTTCCCATTAGTGTCATAAAGAAAATCCCTTGTTTTTTTATGTCAATGTTCATCAAAGCTGAGGAAATATCACATGATTATAAATACAATACAGAACTTTCGTGCTTTTGTGGTTAAATACATTTTTTAGAGTCCATGTTTATGTAAAGCTGGTTCCACTAGAAAAGTTGTAGAAACATTAAGAGCTGCTCTCCCTGAACTGTAGATGAACTCTGACTAAAGAGACAATTACCCTGAATGTGATGAGCTTTTACAGTGTTTCTTTGCCTGCAGCTGATGAACAGCAAAGGCTGAGAAAATATGGCCTTTCAAAAATGTTGCTGCTGAAATGTCTCTTTCATCAGAATTATGAAGGCTTGGACTTTATCTCAACAAATAAGGCTTTCTGAAACTGGGAACTGATGATCTGTAGAACAAATGAATCACTTTCCTTAAAAGAATTGGTTTTATATGACTTCAGATTCATTTTAGATATTTCTCCAAATGACTATTCATTCTCCCAAAACTCAAAACAAAGGATTTGTCTAAAACACATTAGTCATTCACAGAGGTGGGTAGAATATCCACATATTATATTCAAGTAAAAGAAACAATACTTCATTGTATTTTTATTCTAGTAAAAGTAAAAATGAGCCATCCTAAATATCCTAATCGAATTACTACAAATGATCATAGCAGCAGACAAAATTTAAAGCTATATGCAGTTTCTGGTGTTTCAACGAATGAGATGAAAAATAAAGATATGAGATACAGTAATTACACAAAAACACATTTAAGTGGAATATAAACTCATCAAAAGTTATGAAAAACAAATATGGTTCATGTTTGATTAAAATGGAATTTACTAAAGTTACTCACAATGAGTAGATTAAATGAGAAATTGTACTCCTGTAATAGTAGTGTTATTTTTTCATATTTTTACTCAAGTAAAAGTAGAGAGTGCAAAGCTATAAATTTACCCCTGAAACTACTAGAAAGTTACTCAAGTAAATGTAACAGAATAGATGCAGCTAGTTCCTACTCAGCTGGTAACTTTTTTTTTAATGTTGCAGATCCCATCAGGTCTCTCTGAACGTCGGCGACTTACCGAGGTTCTAATGAAGCCAAAGCATCGGCGAACCTGTTGTTCAGAAACAGATGGAGGGCGAGGTTACATTCCTCCAGTGCCGTCTCCAAGTCCAGTGCAGGTGGGCTGAATGGGAGAACGAGAAACTGAAATCAGCAACTTCAACCAAACATGCAAAGACTTAGAATTTGTTGCACAAAGTTTAACACTGTCTGTGCTTCAGTTGATTTCTTTCCATTTGAACTGACATATTTCAGACATTCCTCTATTTTTATGAGATTCTTGATCCAGTGATCAGGCTGCTCTTTTACTTTTAGTCCAATTTAATTCAATTCAGTTTATTCATACAGAGCCAATTCATAACACATCTCATCTTAAGGCACTTTATAGAGATCAGATCATACACTGTTGTAGGAAAGTTTCTCTTCTATTATATATTGATATATCCTATTTACTCACTATAAAAGTTTTGACTCAGTCTGTTTCACTTTCAAGGCCACACCATTCTCTGTGTGATGGTGTTTGTAGACCAGACATAGCTTCTCCCCATAACAAACCAAATTCTTTCTCAAGGTGTGTTCATAACATGATACTGTTTAACCAAAGTGTCTGTAATTTGATGTGACTCTGACTATTTTTCCATTGTTGTAAGTAAGGGGGAACGAATGCTGCTCATGCAGAACAGAGCAGAATGCTGCCATAAGGATGATGATGAACTGTTCTCTCTTTGCAAAGATATGAATAAATGTGCCAACTGAGTGAAATCCATCGATCTCCGTTTATTTAACTAGGGTGAATAGTTAAATATTTTTTTCCCACTACATACAGTCAGATTGTTTTTATGTCTAAGTAAAACCAGCTTAATGCATGGAGTCCTTGACTAAGCAGCAATCCCTCACACCAAGCATGCATGCAGCGACGGGGGAGAGGAAAACTCCCTTTTAACAGGAAGGAATAGTCAGTGGAACCAGGCTCAGTGTGAGCGGCCAGCTGACAGCATTTTCTGTTAAACATTTTGTGACAAAAACCCAATTTATTGACTTCAGACTTGGGAGATTACAGCTGCAGTAAAGCAATTCTAAAGAGCCATTAGCTCTCTGATATCTAGACATTGAATATAGTGTCTAAAATTAGACAGAAAATTACTGAATAAGCTGCTGACATAAATGAAAACTCAAAGATCCATTAGAAAGCCTGAAAAGAAGAGTAATCTAGGATGCTTTAGACACAAAATACAAAGAATATTAAAAAAGATTTGACTCCATCTGCATATCTCGACGGAATGACGCTCTAATAAAATTTTATACTATTGAGATTGTCAAGCTTTAAATGCACTTACGTCTCATCCTCGTAAATCTGGTTCCAGTCCACCTTAAAACCCACACAAACACACAGATTTAAGAGATTTAGTCAAACCGATCAAAGCATGGCATTTAGATGAAGAAGGACTTTTCTGTTGATGATTAAGTCCCAGGGAAGGAGAGATAGTTCCCACACAGAATGTACCCACCTCTGCATTTTTAGAAGTTTTTATGTGATATGATCCAAAATTACAAACAGCCTTTTGTCAAGCTGAGGGCATTGTTAAACCTGCAGCACCAGGGATAGGAAGCTGCACATAAAGCTCTTCTCTTTTTTCATTCATCCTCTAAACCTCTTTAGCAAACACCAAATTGGTTGATTTGATTATGTTATCTTATGGTTTTCCTGATCTTTCTTATTAGAATTAAACAGACAATCCCTCTATGGTGCTGTGAGCTAAATCTGCATCTTTGCTGCAAGGGAATAATAAAAAATGTAAAAATTATTCCTCATCTTGCTTTTGGCAATGTCTTTAGGGTATGATCTGGACCAAAGTGCAGACAGGGTCTTAGGAGCAGCATTTTAATTATAAGAAAGGGCAAAAACTTACAAACTGGCATGAGGAGAAGTGTTTGAAAAAATAATCAGGCAGTAACAGACAAGGAAAGGCATATGATAACAGGAGGATCCAGTGGAGAACAATGCCCAACAATGAACTTAAATACAGAGGGATAAGTGGAGGATATGATTGGAAGCTGGTAAATTTTTAAAATATTTTTTAAGATATATGGCAACACCTTAAAGAAAATAATTAATACAAAAAAAGAAATAGGAAACAGCATGACCTTATACAACACCATGGAGATGACAAGCATATAAACACACATTAAAACCAAAAGCCGGCTTTCAAGGATCATAAAAGTAATGAGATTTTTATATCGATAAAAATATCCATAACTTATATAATCCAGCTGCACCAAAACACTTTTAACAAAAATGTAATCAGATATATATAGATTGCTAATTTATCTTAAAATGTAAAAAAAGGAAGTAAGGAAACTCACCTCCTTGAATTCATCCTTTGTCATCTCCATTTATTAAACCAGAGATTGATGTCCTCCCCTGCCAAAAACTCTGCTGAGAAAGACAAACAAGTTTGCCTCCCGCTTCTTATCATGATCTAAGAGGCCGGGAGTGGCCTCCATTTAACAAGGTCAGCCCCCCACCAACACTTTGTGTAGAGGGAAGGCTGAGAGCTGCAGGCTTTACTCTGTATGTGCCGTGCTCTCTTAAAAAAAAAAAAAAAAAAATCTTCAAGAATAGTGACATAAGATGTTACTGGAACATCAAAAACCCACTGAAACAGGGTGTTTTAAGGGTCCACTAACTGGATTTTCTCCAACTAAGGTGCAAAATGAGGAGCCAGCATTGACATCTATTAACAGTTTAATTTCAACGTGATTAGGAAAGAAAAAAAAGCTTGCCTAAAATTATTAATTAAGAAGAAAAAGAAGAAAGAAAATTCCTTTATTGTCCCACAATGGATAAATTCCGGTGTTTACAGCAGCAAAAAGATTATAGAAAAAAAATTTCTAAGAATAACATACTGTAATAGTGAAGAGTAAAAAATAAATAATAAAATACTGCACTGTTTTAACAATATATATAATGTGCAGCTGAAGAATAAATAACCAATATACGGCTATGGAAATTTGTACAGCAAAAAAACAGCATATTATATATATAAATGGCGGATTTGTGGGTTTCAACTGCTTCTTGCAGGGCCTGATGCCAGGACCCCACCTAGGGAATTGCTGTGTTTCGGTCAGGAGTAACGTTTAGGACTAAGGAATTAATTTAGTTTAGGTTAGGGTTAGGCTGTAGAAATGAATGTAAGTCAGTAAAAAGGCCCCACAAAGACAGTGAGACAAGTTTTGGTGCCTGTGCAGAGACGGACGGACAGACAGATAGAAATTGAATATAGTTCACACTTAAGGGTCGATCTCTGTGTCAGAATTAAGGTTCTGTTTTCAATCAATGTTGCTGCAAAGCTTCCTTCATTTAAGATTATCTGACAGTTCATAGACGACTTCTATGGTTTCTTGATATATTTTGTAAAAGCTTTCAAATTTTTTTAAATGGCGTGATTTTTGGTCTGATCGTCTTGACCAAACTATTGTAAATTGGTCAGGTTAGAAGGCTGATTTCTCTACAGGGTTGGGATCATTACTTTGTGATGGAAACTCCAAAACCTCCACTTTGTTCTCCTTGGGTCCTTTGTAACTAATTTAGCAGGAGAATCTCTGTCTTGTGATGATATTTCCACATAATGTCCTTTCCCTCATGTTTCCACCCTGGCTTCATCCGGAGCACAGTGATAACTTATAAAATGGAAGAAACTAGAAAACAATCACTCATTTTTCTGTCATAAAATCAGATAATAGGAAAGGTCAGGTGTTTTTTTTTCCTGTCTGGTTTTAACTACAAGTATACCGAAAAAAAATTATTATATCATGGAAAGTTTCAGCATTTATTGCCCCCATGTTAAACTTACTGAATAAACAAGAAATCATTGCCTCAGAAAATGCTAATTCTACAAAAAAGTGGGTCAGAACATGTCGAGTGACAGAAAAAGGTGGACCAGCAACATGGATAACAGCAGCCTTAAGAGGATTGCCAAGCAATATCCAGTCAGGAATTTGGAGAATTTAACAATGAGCGGACTGAGGCCTGAATCAGAGCACCAGAGTCTGCCACACAGAGAGGAACCACTGCACAGGTGTTTTAGCAGGAACCAGAACCAGATCTTCTCTCAGAGGTCCAACATCCTCTCCAGATCAAAGTAAAGTTTGCATTTGGCTCGGAAATCAAGATCCCAGGTTCTAAAGGGAGAAATCAATGAAGCTTGAAATCCAGTTAGAATTTCCAGTCAGTGACATGTCAGCTGCTGGTTCTGGGATCCTGGGTTTTCTGGAGTGCAAAGAAGCCATATACCAGGACTTACATAGATGACCTCTTTCTTTCTCCTTCTTCAAAGCTTTGTGGAGACGCTGATTTCATTTTTCTGCTGGACTTGGTACCAGCCCACAGATTCCTAAACTGCTGGAAGTACCAACAGCTTGTTCAGAAACCGTGGTGTTACTGTGTTTGTTTGGCCAGCTGACCAGAAGGAGCAGAACCCCGATAGAGAATCAAGAATCTTTATTGTCATTATGAAAATATGGTGACATTTACTGGAAACTGTGTGTTTATCCATCCATCCATCCATTTTCTAGCACGCTTATCCCGAGCGGGGTTCGCGAGGGCTGCTGGTGCCCATCTCCAGCAGTCAATGGGCGAGAGGCGGGGTACACCGGGGTACATCCTGGACAGGGCATTGTGTGTTTAGAGTGGACAAAAAATACAAAGACAGCAATTAAAATCCCCTACAGAGTTAAACTGGGAGAAAAACTCTTATAAAGCCATATTAGGGGGGAAAAAAACAACTTCTTCCTCTGCGGGATGTATTAGGTGCCTCCAAATTATCCACTATAAGGCTACTGGCCTTTCATATGGCAGGCTAGACCTTCCCAAGAGTTAAAGAACAGTAGCTGATGTCATTTATGCTTTTTCAGACGTATTTAAATCGTTTCAGTGATTTTAGCATGACCATTTAACGCTATAAAAAAATGCTACTGGTCATTGCCATGGCCTAATGCCAGGACCCTACTGGGGGAATTGTTGTGTGTGGGTCAGGGGTCACGTTTAGGACTAAGGAATGAATGGAGTTTAGGTTAGGGTCCAGAAACCGTGGTGTTACTGTCAAGAACCGAGGGACCCAGTATTCAAGGAGATGGACAGACAGGGACAGGATCCAGATCAGGCAGGAACAGAAACAGGTGGCAGGATCCAGACTTCCAGGCATCCACAGGCTCCCAGGGGGGTTCAGAGTCTGACAGGGTACGAAAGCATGACCAGGTGGTCACGCACAGGATCAGACAGGATCAGGTGCAGCTGAGCAGGCTCAGTGGAAGAGGGTAGCCGAGACAGGACGTGGAACCAGAACTTGATGCAGGACTTTAAACTGGTCTCCTCCCTGGAGCCAGGCTTACTGAGATAAAAACTGAACCTCCCCACATATTGAGCCAAAAACCCAGAGGACTCCACGGGGGAGGAACAGTGGACGATCAGGAGACGAGACAAACACTAAAACCCTCTTTCCACTGGCTGCCAGGATCCAGGACATGAACCATGAAATAAAACTAACAGAAAGACAAGTAATGATCTGGCACTGAATGCTCAGGCTGAACTGAATATAAACCAGAGGAAACAGGTGAGAGGAATAAATTATAATTGAGGCAGGGAGGGAAAACGACAGGTTTAAGGAATGACTAATTAAGGGAGAGCAAACAGGCCAGATCATGACAGTTACTGTGTTTGTTTGGCCACCCGACCAGTAGGAGCAGAACCCTGATAAAGAATCTTTATTGTCATTATGAAAATATGGTGACATTTAATGGAAACTGAGTGTTTAGAGTGCACAAAAAATACAAAGACAGCACGAAAAATCCCTTACAAAGGAATATAAACATCTTTAGATGACAAAATGGAATACCCTTACAAGATAAACATAAAATATAAACAATATTAGAGTTAAGTTAGAAGAAAAACTCTTATAAAGCCCTATTACGAGAAAAAATAAAAATAAAAATTCCTCCGTCTGCGGGATGTATGAGGTGCCTCCAAATGATCCACAATAAGACTACTGGCCTTTTACATGGCAGGCTAGACCCTTCCAAGAGTTAAGCAACAGCAGCTGATGCCATTTATGCTTTTTCAGATGTTTTAAAATAGTTTTAGTGATTTTAGCATGGCCATTTAACACTTTAAAAGAAAAAAAGTGTATATAGAAAAGCAGTATGAAACATTTCCATGAAGTGCAGCTGGTGCTGCAATCTATGGAGGACTGTGGAGAATTAGAAGGTTAAATCAGCATGAAGACGTCCATCAGCAAGCAACGTGGGTTCCTAGAGCGCCTCACAAGAACTTCTGGTTGATCACATCCATGCCACGCATTGATGATGCAGGATTTTATGCAAAAGGAGTGCAGACCAAGTATTAAGAGCAAAGAAATAAACAATTTTCAGCAATATTACTGTTAAAAACATGCTTCATTAATTGCTTTTGTGTGATATTTTCATTTTTCTATGGCACTGAACTCTTGGCTTATATTGCTAGAATCATCCTGTGCATTATCAAATATTTGATTGTTTTTCTTGTCTGATAAGTCAATTCTTCTTTTGTCAGTGCAATTTTGGGTCCACTTTGTATAATTATACCGTATATATATATATTCTGTATAAATAGCTAGAATTCCAAACAAGAAACAAATCAAACGTGTTACTTTTGATAATATAGTGAAATGAGAAGCCATAATTAAAAATAAAGGTTAATTTAACTGAGCAAACAGACAATGAGAAAAATGCTTCAGCCTAAGAAACCCCCCAGAGCTATTAGTGAAGTTTCTAAACTGTAACACAAAGTCTGAGCTTCTTAGAGTCCGCCATTATCCCTGACCATCTGCCTGCATGTGATGCAGCATCAGCCTAAACAATTTTTTCCAGTGGTTTTGTGATTCATCTTACTGCAACATATCTTTACTTTTGTAAGTCTCCCTGACGATACCCACTGCAGTTTTCTGGTCAAAGAAAGCAGGAAGCTAATGACCTTTTATTTAAAAGTCTTCCTGCCAGTACATCACTCTGTTCACGTGGATGTAACACCAGTCAGGAGTCTGAGCAGAGGCCTTGTCTGTGGTGATCTTCTCATCATCAGTGGGTTCTGCTTCCTCTTACAAAAGTAATTGAAGTTCTTAGTTTAATGGTTCTGAATATGCAATTTATCCATTTATTCATAAGCAGATCTGCAAAAACTACTTTATTTCTCAGATTTAAATCAAAGAAAATAAAAAAGGCAGTTTTTTAGATGGTGATTTCCGCCATCCATATGTGAAGATGCAGAATCCCTCAAACTTATAAATGGATGTGCCAATTTTAGCAATGAATGATATTTAAAAAATTCAGGAGTTTGGCAACGAGTGTTTTTTTAGCCTGGCAGCCATCTTAAGGCTGGTATAAAGGAATTTAACAACGTGTCTACAGGTTTGTTTTAAAAGAGGTATTTTCTTTAGACAGTTCAAGTCTGACTCTTTATAACATTGTTCTACTGTCTGTTTAATGTCACTTCTTAAAACATTTCACTATGTGAACATAGGGAGGGAACAGTGGCGAGGGGGATTCTGCCAGACTGTGGAAAACAAATTAGAGACACTAGAGGGAAGTTCATACACCATAAAATAATGCACAGATGTTATCATACGGCGGTGAGAATGTATGACACCAGCTGATGAAGGATAAAAAAATGCTGGAAATATAAATTGGAAGCAGACTGGTCAAACCCCTCTGGGTTTAGGTATTGGGTTTGTTGAGTTCATCTTATGAATCCATGCTGCTTAGACTAGAAGACAATGAGCAAGTTTAACCGGAGAGGGAAACTGATGGGGAAAATTTCCAAAAAAAGTAAAAAAAAAAAAAAACATGCACTGGACTTTGTTTCCAAGTTTGAAGACGTTTCGCTTCCCATCCAGGGAGCTTTATTAATTCAAAATGTCATAATTAGTGTTGGGTATGGGAAAAGGTTTGGACTAATTGGGCAGGAGACTTCCCAGACATTTCAGGCTGTGAACCCAAAAATAACAATGCAGCAGACTCTAAACCCTAAAAATACATATGATTACTTCACACTGTACTTATTTTGTACTTTTTTTCATATCAAATAAAGTAATTGTATCAAGTTTCTAAATTACCAAAAAAATAAAAGTATTTTATAAGTAACATTTCATTACTTAATACATAGATTTGAGTGTATTTTTTTATTTTTTTGGGGCATTGAAATATTTTTAATTGTATATTTTAGTCTATGACTTGATTAAAGTCATAATTCTGAGATTAAAGTCAGAAATCTTAGAAAAAATTATTAATTCTGAGATTAAAGTCAGAATTCTGGGGAAAAAAAATCTGAATTCTGACTTTTCCCCCCATATTAAACTGAAAAAATATTTAAAAATCAGTTAACTTTTTTTGTCTTTTCAGTGGCCCAAATCCTCCTCCGTACATATGAAATTGAAACCATCTCTTGGGTTTACAGAGAATGGTCCGAAAAAGAAAAAACATCCAGTGAGCAGCAGTTCTGTGGGCGGAAATGCCTTGTTGATGCCAGAGGTCAGAGGAGAATGGCCAGACTGGTTCGAGCTGATAGAAGGGCAACAGTGACTCAAATAACCACCCGTTACAACCAAGGTGGGCAGAAGAGCATCTCTGAACGCACAGTACGTCGAACTTTGAGGCAGATGGGCTACAGCAGCAGAAGACCACACCCGGTGCCACTCCTTTCAGCTAAGAACAGGAAACCGAGGCTACAATTTGCAAAAGCTCATCGAAATTGGAAAATAGAAGATTGGAAAAACGTTGCCTGGTCTGATGAGTCTCGATTTCTGCTGCGACATTCGGATGGTAGGGTCAGAATTTGGCGTCTACAACATGAAAGCATGGATCCATCCTGCCTTGTATCAACGGTTCAGGCTGGTGGTGGTGGTGTCATGCTGTGGGGAATATTTTCTTGGCACTCTTTGGGCCCCTTGGTACCATTTGAGCATCGTTGCTACGCCACAGCCTACCTGAGTATTGTTGCTGACCATGTCCATCTCTTTATGATCACAATATACCCAACTTCTGATGGCTACTTTCAGCAGGATAATGCGCCATGTCATAAAGCTGGAATCATCTCAGACTGGTTTCTTGAACATGACAATGAGTTCACTGTACTCAAATGGCCTCCACAGTCACCAGATCTCAATCCAATAGAGCATCTTTGGTATGTGGTGGAACGGGAGATTCGCATCATGGATTTGCAGCCGACAAATCTGCGGCAACTGTGTGATGCCATCATGTCAATATGGACCAAACTTCCTGAGGAATGCTTCCAGCACCTTGTTGAATCTATGCCACGAAGAATTTAGGCAGTTCTGAATGCAAAAGGGGGTCCAACCCGTTACTAGCATGGGGTACCTAATAAAGTGGCCGGTGAGTGTATATATATATATATATATATATATATATATATATATATATATATATATATATATATATATATATATAAATAAACGTCCGATCCACACTCCACACCAGTAGATGGGGGTAATGCACCTCAATAAGTTGCTTGCTAAACGCCATAAAGAAGAAGAAGAAGAAGTTGTTGTTGTCCCTCTAAACATGGCGGAGTCCGAACCAACGGCAGAGGCGAGCAGCAGCAGCATCCCGGATTATGAATATGTGGACGTGAACACCACAGCCTTCCACATCGGCTCCTTCAGGGAGGAGTGGCTGAAAAGGCTGAAACCGGAACAAATCTCCTTCCAGCAGAAAGATCAGGACACGTTTGAAGCTAACTTTGCTGCTGAGATGGGCTTAGAAGAGGAAACGATGGCTGAACTCCGATCCGTCTGCAGGTTGAACAGCAAAGCAGCCACACATTTTATCACATAAACCTCACATCTCACTCTTTTAGGGCAATAACAGCCAATAAAAGCGATACTACTGAATTATTGTCATTTTGTTATACCACATATAATCACAGGGAGAGTGGTTTAAGACACGCTGACCAGACGTCCCCAAATTCCAGGGACAGTCCCCGTTTTGGACCCCCTGTCCCCGGCTAAAGCTGTCCCTGGAAATGTCCCTGATTTGACCGTTTTATGAATGATCAATGATTAGATTGGCTAAAAGTTAAATATACTTTAAACTTTAAAACATTTACATCCAATCAAAAACAATAACAGCTTATTTAAAACAAAAAGCACAGCTGTATCTATAGAAAATATATTCCTGTTAGGTTTCACTATAACTTTATTAAAGGACAGATTATTTTTATGCCCTGAGAGCTTATTTTTCATTCATCTATACCTGTGATGACAAAACATGTATTTCTGGTGTGGCTGCTTCAAGCTGCTCATGAGAGTGATCCAGATTTATAGATGTGTTTTAATGGTTTTAATTTAATCTGAATATAAAAATCTAACTTAAGTTTTTTAATAGTGACACAGATTTTAATCCAGGCTGCTGGAGGCGACCCAATGCTCTGCAGCTGTCCAGGATACAGTAGAAACAACTGAAGCCGCTTTCATTTTATAGTGATCAATATAAAAAGATAGATTTATATGTATGTTTTTCAAATTTTATATATATATATAAAAAAGTTTCATTTTAGGTTTTGGAATGGAAAAAGAGTTTCCAATTTCCCATAAAATCTGTATTGATGCCAACTGGCCTGTCCCTAAAAACAATGTTATGTTGCTCACAGGGAAGAAGACAATGAAGACTGAATGACCAGATGGCACTGATAAACACTATTGATTTATTAATATTATTTATCTTAATGGAAAAGGCACATTGCTGGATTTCACACTTGATTTTTTTTTATATTAATAAATATTTAAATATGGATAAAGGCATCACTGTTCCCCTTTCCTAATTTAATTTTCATGAAATGCATTTATTTTTATCTATGAGCTGGAAATGTCTCCAGATCAGATTGCAGAAATCTGGTCACCTTAGTTTAAGAGTCTCTGACAAGGAAAGCTGCTGCCTGGATGTTCAGAGCATCTCAGCAGGTTAGGGACACAAATGAGCACTAAAGGAGCACAAATGTTGATACAAGTGAAGTCAATTTTACATTTCATTTGAGATGTTCCCGCTCTGTCCTTAAATCTATGGAGGCGAGAATGGAGATCAGCTGAAGGTTGAAAGCTTCATTACCGTCTCAGCAGGACCTGACAGCCTCCTTTCCACACAAGCAGAAAAAGCCCAGAATTGCTGCTGTTTATCAATAGACACGATCTTTTGTTTAAAAAGAAAAACATTTCATTATGAGCTTTTTAAAATACATTTCACCCTTCCTCAATAACAGGATTAGTTCATTTATTAGCTGTAAGCCATACAGTACAGAGCATTAACCCTTTATAGGGCAACTTACTGTTTTAATCACTTGCATAGATCTAGAAGCACAACATCTATATCCAGCCATTCAGCAAAGATGTTGCTACATGGCTGCACATCTTATTTTGCCATTTGACCAATTATATGAGCCCTTGAATGATATATTACCTACTGGAAATTAAGTAGTGTTGCGCCGATGCCATTTTTTGGCCCCGATACCTGGCTGTGCAGTATTGGCCGATACAGATACTATCTGTTTGAAATTGATGTGTGTACATATGAAAAACTCCATACTACTTGGATGTAAAATAATTGCCATCATGGCTTTGTCAAGCTGCTGCCTACCTTTGCGAAGCAGGAAAAAGACTAATACAAAGTGAATCCAGTAGAACTTTTTATTGCCTACCTGGAATGGGTGACAATAGTCGAATAAACTTTTGGCTCTCAAAATGCTATCAGTGCTCTATTTGTTGGTACTCGCCGATACCAATACCACCATTTTAGTGCTGGATCGGGGCCCCAACCGATACTGGTATCAATATCGGTGCAACACTAGTTCCAATCTGGCCTCTGGTCCTTTGCCGCATGTCTCTCCCCCTCTCTCATACTCCCCAAAAAAGAGCCACTAGTTCTGTAACCCCACCCACCACAACAATACAATATAAAAGGAGCATTTTTTAATTTTTAAGACTACTCCTTTTGAGAGATCTTTGTGTCATTTCATTATGGCAGGAAACATCTTGAATAAAGATGTAATTCCCGCTCTTTGAGGAGGATGAATCATTTTGGCTTCGACTTTTAATCCTGTTGATGGGATTTCTTTTTATCAGATCTTACGGCTGTTAACCTTTTATAATTATGCCACAGACCTATTTATTCATATGTACTTTATGATGATGTTTAGTTTTACTTTATATTTCTTACCTGGAATGAGTGACAATAGTTAAATAAACTTTTGGCTCTCAAAATGGTATAAGTGCTCTATTTGTTGGTACTCACCGATACCAATATCACCATTTTAGTGCCCTGCCCGATACTGGTATCAGTGCAACACTAAAATGAAGGTAAAAAAAATGAAGAAAAAACAAAGTAAAAACTAATTGAAAAATAAAAAAGTTAATAAGCGTATTTAACAATTATATTTAGTTATATAAAGTAAAAAAAAATGTAAGTGCCAGTATCAGCATTAATGCCTCTAGGGTTATGTTGGACCAAAAAAATGTGTTTCTGTCCCTCTCAGAGTGTTTTTCATGAATTTCTTATAGAAGCACTTTTGTTATTTTTCTTAATATATTCCTGCAAGTTGGCGTTTCTTGTTATTACATTGACATTAATTTTTTCCATCATTTTTTGAATGTTACAAAAACAATAAGGTTTTGTTCTGGATTCCAATACCACTATTGACTTGAAACTGGCTTGAAACCGCCTTAGAGACAGTTTTTACCCGACAGCAATAACAAAACTAAATGCAACCAAAAATAACCATTAATCATCATGGATGATGTGTGTGAGAATGTTCTATTCTTATTAGTTGTTTTGTATCAGTTATTGTTATTTATTTATTATATAACGTGTAAATGGTGGTGACAGTGATTTTTGTTTTTTAAGCATATGCACTGAGCGATCAATGGCACTTTTTTAAATTTCGTTGTTCTTGTGACAAGGACAAAAAAGCTAAATTGAATTGAATTGAAAATTAGAATAATCTCACTGAGTTCCCTATAAAGGGTCAAAATGTCAGTCTACATGTTGCCGGTTTGAATTCAGCCAGCTTACTTTTATGCGTCGGTGGACTGATGGTTTCACTGGGATTCTTTTTATTCTTTAGTTAGTTGGTTAATTGCCAAATCTCTGTGTTTTTCTTCTTCTGGTTGAAGCGTGGACTCGCTTCGTTGCTACTCTGAAGATCAGCAGCCCGACCCAGAAGTCTTACCTTCAGAACCGACCCTGAAAACTCTCATGTAAGTCCTCCTCTGATACCACACCAGTAAGTGGGTCTGGGGTTCTCCGGTGGGATAATTCTGTTTGTTTGATTACAGATACAGAAAAAAGAAGCAAAGACGCTCATCATCTTATAGAGGAGGCCAAAACAGACATGAGCTCTACGCCGGTGAACTGGTGGGTGAATCCTGACCTTCGTCTCAGTGGGTCTTTCTGTCAGCGCTACAAAAATGTACCGATGTCTTTAAGGAATTTTCTTCATTTGACCTTCAGTTTCACCTGACAAAAACAGAGAATTGCTTTTTTCTGCTCTTCACTTTTTCACGTTCTTCAGCTTTTTCATTTTTTATTTTCTGTGACAAAAATCCACTGTGATTCTATGTTCTGGGGACAAAAATAAAGATGAACTGATACGGTTTTATTAGGGCCTAATTAATCCCAAATACTGGCTGCTGATATTTTTTGGGCCCGATTCCTCAAACTGATGTAGATTTTTCTTCCTCCATATAGATGATAGAAGTGACTCCATTAAAACAGACATTAAACCGCTCTTAGTTTAAACAAAAAGAAACATTTATTAACAAATCAAAGACATGTTAACAATGGATACAAGTGGAAAAAAACACAAATATTGGTCAGAAAATTCAATGTATCGGTCTGTAGAGAAGAACTGGAGGGAAAATGAGTGAAAGGATTAACTAAGGTGGCGTCTGCACTAGAAAAAATCGAAATCTAGATAAGTCATTTTTAAAATAAGTGCATTTGTTCTTGGATTAAGGAAAGGCAAGGCAAGTCAAATTTATTTGTATAGCACAATTAAGTACAAAGACAATACAAAGTGCTTTACATGATTAAAATATAGGAATGTAAAACAGAAACAAAGCGAGTAGGAAAAAATAATGCAGAAACAAAAAAGAACATTAAAAACAGTTGGACTAAAGAAAATAAAAAAGTTGAACTAATGATGTTTAGTTGAACTGTTTAACTAGAACAGTCGAAGGCAATCCTAAATAAATGTGTTTTTAGTCTTGATTTAAAGGAACTCAGGCTTTCCGCACTGTTACAGTTTTCTGGAAGTTTGTTCCTACGGAGCCCCTAAAGGGACATGGAGGGAAAAATAAACTTTGCGAGATCTCGCAAAAAAATAAGCTTTGGCGAGATCTCGCAAAAGGTTTTGCCATGTCAGCGAACCGGAAGTAAAACAAACAGTGGAGGTGCAAAGTGTACTGCTATGGGAGGATAACACGCCCATGTGTCACCTACAACCATGGAGGATGATTTGGAGAGGTTCTTAATTTCTAGACAAGTCCCAAAACAGACAAGGTCAGTATGCAATCCCACGGAGCTCCTAAAGGGACATGGAGGGAAAAAAAGGAACTTTTGCGTGATCTCGCAAGATTCCGCAATAGTTTTGCGGGATTTCGCAAAAGTTCTTTTTTTCCCCTCCATGTCCCTTTAGGGGCTCCGTATGTTCCAGATAAGTGGATCATAGGAACTAAATGTTGCTTCTCCATGTTTAGTTCTGGTTCTAAGTATGAGTGGTTTTAAGGATGTAAAACAGACATTTTGACAATGGAACAAGACAATTTACACTTAAAATTACAAAACAAAATTGCATTGCCTTATTTCAAGTGCATATTATCTAATTATCTTATTTTAAGATTAAAAATACTCATTACGTTGGCAAGCTATCTCATTTACCTACTCAAATTAAGGATAGATGCACTTAATTTAAGGAATTTTTTACTTATTTCTAGATTGTTTTTCCAGTGTGGCTCAGTGGGAGAACGAATGAAGGCTGGTTAAAAACATCAGCACTGCTTTTCTAAAACATCTACTGACTTACAGCAATCTGGAGGTGAGAAGGCGACCGACGTGTCCATTAATTGTTTCCCTGAATGATTTCCAGGACCGTCAAACTATTGGAAGGGCACCAGAGTCAGAGGCTGACATGGTCCCTGAGGGGGAGCTCATCCTTTCCATTAACATCTACTTCCCTGTGAACTTTGATAAAGTGAGTTTTGATCTCCCCGTTTTAAAGTTGTCAAAGTGCCTCCGGTCTTCACCGCGTTTTTTTCCTCCTGAGTGTTTTCATTTGTGGAGCTGACCTTTGATTTTAACCCCCCTGCAAGTTTAACTACATGCGACCTCATGTGACGCTGCTGATGAGAGGCTCCCAAACCCTGGCCGAGCTCCGAGACGCCATCTTCTGCGTCAGCGACCTGCAGGTGTGCGGCGAGTTCAGCAACACGCCAGACTTGGCTCCAGACTTCATCTGCAAGGTAAGCCTGCAGCCGCCACAGCACATTTCCCATCATGCACCTGCAGCCGAAGGGCCTGGTCGAGATCACGTTTTCAATATTTTTGCTTCCAGGACCTTTTCAGATCAGCCTTCTTTTTCTTCGAGGGAGTTTTCTACGACGACATGCGGCATCCTGACTGCCAGGACATCAGCAGGTCTGTTTCCAAACTTTCTGTTCAAACTTAAAAGTTTGGAAAAAGATGTTTTAGATCTCAATCAACCACAAAAAATGTCAGCTGGAACTTCTGACAACACAGTAAACAATAAATTGAGCTCCAAAAATGAACAAAACAAGCAACCACACATAAAAAAGACATAAAAATGCAACAGAAAAATGTTGCAAATGAAAAAAATGCTTCAGTAACAGAAGAAAATGATGCAAAGATTAAAAACAGCAGCAACTCGCTCCACAAAACGGAAGCACTCTGTACCACTAGAGCAGAAGTCATGGATTAGCGGACCAGATCCGGACCCACTTGCTGGGTAATATGGACCCAACCTGATTTAAAACATTTATAAATTACCGCATGTTGTCAGACTGTGGTGTCTAATCCCACATCCTCTGTCTCCGCCCTGCTCTGATGCTGACCGCCTATGCAAAGCAAAGCCTACAGCCTCCGCTGCTCCTCCCATCTTGCTCCGCTCCGACTTCCTTGGATACTCAAGGAGAGAATGGGAGATATTATTATTAAATTCAGGAGCAAAACATGTGGAAATGAACGCTTAATTTAATATGATAAATTTAAAAACTCCCCACCATCATCCAGCCAGCATATGTTCAGTTTCTGCCCAAATATTTTCTTTTTGTTGTGGATTTTTGTAACAGGGATAACTAGCATCTTCCATGGTTTGTATGAACTATGTTTGTTTTCTGCCTCCAAACTCAGCATCTCTTCATCCAGGCCTGAGATGAGAAGTTTCTTTTGAAGTGGTGAGATGCGCTCTTAGAAATTTTGACTGGATTTGATTAAACTTTTAAGCCTCTTAGTATAAAATAAATATTTTGATGGAAATGAGAAATCTGCTTCCTGGTATGTTGAAGTACCAATAGTTTGCATCCAATCATTTAAACAAACGGTCTTAGTTTTTGGGAATATATGAGCTCACCAATGAGCCTGGAATGGCTTTAGAATGGCTTAGTCTCCATTCAAACCCAGGTTTAAAGCCTTGCAGGGCAGCCTAAAGCCCACTGCTCTCATTAAGGCAGAAAAAAATAAAATAAAAACAAATGGTCAGCTCAGGTGTTTCATAAAATATGAGAGTCAAGAAATTGTCCATACGATTGTTGATCTCTACTTCAAAAAACACTTTAGATATTCAAATGGAAAAATTTTTGAAAATAGTTTTTTATTTAGTCAATGTAAACATGGATGCATAAAAACCTCATTTTATTTCAGTGTTAAATTCTGTTTAATGTTACAGATTCTAATTAAAAATATCTCTGGACCTTTAGGGATTGATGACCTTCTTTATCTGGACCCCACAGATTTTTAATTGGTTGCCCCCCCACGCTAGAGAAAGTCAAACACAGAAGAACCATATCAGACCACCCCCGCTTTACAACAGGAAAACAGATTAACGCAGGATTTAATAAAGAAAAGAAAGACATTTAGAGGAAGGAAAGATGTTCGTTATTTTTCATTTCATTTTCAAGTGCATAATATTACATTATTAAAGTAGTTATGCATGGTAACATATGTGTAACCCCCAAATTCCACATCCTCCGCCCCGCCCAGCTGACTTGCGTCATGCGGCGCATCTGTGTCATGTTAATCAATGAGAGCTGTTCCACATCCACCGCTACTTCTCCGCACGTCACAGTCCATGTACATGTTCTCCGTCCTTCGCCATCAAAATTCGGAGCCAAGCTATTTTTAGTTCCGGTCCGGCCAGGTCACGATCCGCGATTGCAATCGCACTAAAAAGGAAAAGGAACGTCGAGATCCAGTTTGTCAATTTAAAATATAGTAACGACAGATTGGTGACTACAAATTTTAGCATAATTCTTATATATTCCCATAAGCGTAGAACGTTTTATTAAATGATTGGATGCAAACTATTGGTACTTCAACATACCAGGAGGCAGATTTCTCATTTACATTAAAATATTTATTTTATATCAAGAGACTTAAAAGTTTCATCAAATCCAGTCACAACAACTTCTAAGAGCGCATCTCACAACTTCAAAATAAGTTTCTTATTGCAGGCATGGATGAAGAGATGCTGAGTTTGGAGATAGAGAACAAACCGTTTTCGTATGATCCTAATTATCCCTTTTATAAAGATCCACAACAAAAAGAAAATGTTTTGATAGAAATGTGTAATTGATGATGAGTTTTAATTATGTCATATTAAATTTAGCGTTCATTGCCGTATTTTTGCTCCTATGAAATAAATAATATTGCACATGCTCTCCTTGAGCTGCAAGGAAGTCAGAGCGGGAGGAAAGTGGAGGCTGTAGGCTTTTCTTCTTTTTTCCACTCCCTTTAGTGGTTGATTTGTTCATAAACATTTGTTTTCTTTATTGCGTGTTTGTGCATGTTGACCACCATACAGGAACTTCTCCAGTTGTTGCAACACCTTGTTTTTTTTTGTTGTTTTTTTGCATTTGTTTCACTGACTGTACGGTTTTTGCTTCTACTTTTTGTGATTGCAGCATTTTTCTTGTTTGCAGCATCTTTCAGTTGCATTTGGGTTTTGCGTGTTTTAGAGTTACCATCATACAAGTTTTTGCAGCATGTTTCGTTGTTTGCACCTGTCGTCCACCGTATTTCTGCCCCTTTTTTGAGAATTAAACCATAACTTCTTCTTTACAAAGAGAAGTCATCGTTAAATCCTTAACTTAAATTCACTTTATCATTTATAAACAGCAGAAATAGAGTAAAGACAACAGCTTCCATCTTGCTTCCTGCCTTCCGTTTGATAAATTTGTAACATTAATTGCAGTCCAAAAAGGTCTATAAAATATAAATTTGAAGTGTTTTACACTTTATTCTTCTCTGTGTTTGGTACCAATCCCAAAGCTCTGGTCTTTTGGGGCTCAGTCTGTGTTTCAGGTCAAAAAACTTGGAATTCCCTTAATAAAAAAAAAAAAAAAAAAAAACATGCCTGGCTTGTCTGAGAGTAGGTACGACGTGTTCAGGTCCTTGTGGATGTTTCTCTTAGGAATCCAGTCATCTCGTCCCCAAAGGGCAGAATGTAGAGCTAATTAGCAGGATGAATAGGGACTGGTTTGGTGGAGGCCTCGTGACTGTTGGTATAACTTAAGACCTGACCGGATTCGCATTCCTTTCAGGTTTTTCTTTTTATTTTCACAGTGTGTTGAACATAAATACATTAACATGTTAATACAAATAGTGATATGGATACAAGGATTGATAACTGTTGAAAGGAGGTTTTTATTAAAACCTTCTGTAACAACAGCACCTTTAGAATCTTTTCTCAGTATATAGTTATACTATTAGATCCTTCATCAAAGCAGTGAATTTATAGAGAACAGTTTGTTCCATTATTATTATTTAAGGAAAAAAAAATGCAATTGAGAAATAAAACCATGAAAAACCTTTAATAACTGAAATGTTTGAGAGTAACTTTGCTGTTTCGTCAGATTTTGTTTCTTTTTAAAATCATTTTGTATGTATTTTTCATATTTTTTAAAAGAATCTAATATTTTCACTATTTTTTTTTTTTATTTCTCTTTTTTATAGTGAGTTTTAGGAATGTCATTCTTTTCAAATCGCGTTTTGCAGATTGCTTCACTTCGTGGGGCGGGCTTTCCTCTGGGGCGAGGAGAGAAGACGCATTTACGGAAGAGGATTAGGGCCACTGAAAAAAAAAAAAAAGTTAACTGATTTGTTTTTATTTTATTTCAGTATAGTATAGGAAAAAAAGTCAGAATTCTGACTTTAATCTCAGAATTCTGAGAAAAAAAGTCAGAATTCTGACTTTTTTCCCATACTATACTGAAATAAAATTTTAAAATCAGTTAACTTTTTTTTTTCAGTGGCCCTAATCCTCTACCGTACGAATTTCTACTGAATCCTGGGATTTTATAAAACACAATTTACAAACCGTTTTAAAACTCAACCCAAAAAACGCCCCCAGGAAATATAAAATCATTCTTTTTTTTTTTAAAGAATAAAATTAAAAATATAAAAAATAAACTTGAATTCAAATTTTATTGAAAATAACATAACCTAATCTGAGGTGACAGCAAAGTTACTCTAAAAAACTTTTTTATATGAAAAAAAAATATGTTTTATTTTCCATTTGCAAACTTAATTTCATACATTTTATTTCTTTTTTGTATTGTATTTTAAATTTTTGTTTTAAATAATAATAAAAATAGATATAAACAGTTTATTGCTTGGACATTGCCTTATTTATAGTTATTTTTTGCAGTGTTAATAATGGCTGTTATGTAATTACAGCATAATTATTGTCCCATATCTCCTCATGGTAGCTGAGGTCGGCTAAAAATAGGCAACAGTAGGAATGTGCCGCCAATAATCTCTGTTAAACCAGCTGCTTTGCTTTCTTTGATATAAATATACTCATGGTTGTTTATTCAGCGTATATAGAATCAATAATAACTTGCTCCTCTTCTACGTTGTTGATTTTAGTGCTTCATCTGTTCCGTTCCTGCAGGAAAAAGACCTCAAACACAAACTTTACCTCGACCAACACTGGAGCTGAATCTGCACTGAAAGCAATTCTTTGATTCTTTGATTCATGTCTTTGTCTCTTGAATCCAGGACGACCATCGAGTGGTCAAAATCCAACAACTACCCGCCGTTCAGCCAGGCCAAGATGGAGGACACGCGTTGGGTGGATCTGAAGGTGAAGTTGGGATACCCGTACCTCTACTGTCACCAAGGAGACTGCGAACACCTGGTCATCATCACAGACATCAGGTCAGTGTTTCCATTCTGTGGTGCCGCCGTACAGCTGGCGGCGTCCGACTCGCGTCACGTGACTTGAAGTGCTTTGAGGATGATGAAAGAAGAAGATACCAAACCCAAACTATCATCCGCTCTAATTTATGAAAGCCTTTTTGCTCTGTTGCTTTTTTTTTTTACTTTCTAAACATCATTTAATAGTCGTTTTGAATGAGAAAGTTCATTGAATGGCAAAAGATTTTGGGCCTAATTTCTAAAAATTGAATAACTTGCGCATTGATAAAAAAAAAAAAAAAAAAAAAAAGAAGAAGTAAAAATAAGTTTGACGTCACTAAGGTTTTGGCATGGCTTGGTGAATGAGGTCCTTTATGTCAGCCTGTGAGTTTCCATGGAAAGAGCTGACTCCACCTCAAACCAGCCTCCACGGCTTAATGAACTCTGCACTGAGACGGTTCTTGTTAGCAAAGGTCCGGGTTGGTTTCTGTCCGTGTTTTCTCACCGTCTCTCTGAACAATAGGAGCCTTTGACTGTTCCCTGCTCCCATTGGACTGAAGCATAGAGGACTGTATGAAATCAGCCATTTTAACCACAAACAAACTGATTTTGATATTATGATGGAGCAACTCAATTTAGTACAGAATTTAGCAAATCAATGGGTGAACAGGATCATTTTTCCATTATTTAGATAAACTGTAGATCTGAAAAGCGTACAGAGGGGATGGAAAAGCCAAAACCTTTAGTAGGAGGAGAACAGCTTTATTTTGATGTAGTTTTACTAAAGTATCAGTAAAAATAAACACAGTATTTGGCACTATGGCTACTTGAGTACAGAGCAACTGTTGATAATAGGGCTCAGACAATTAATCAGATTAATTGTGAAAAATCTATTATTGAAATAATTGTCCACTAATTTAGTAATTGATTGTTAACTGTAGTATAGAGACTCTAAAACATACATTTAGCTGTCAGACTGACCCACTTAGAGCGGTAATTATCCCAAAATTGCAAAAATATAGGCAAAAATTTAGCGTTTTATTAAAAAGTAATGTTTTCTTCTGTCAAAATGCTAATTCGGAACTCCTCAAGTGGAAAAGTTTGTTTCACCTGATTTAATTTCGTAAAAAAATTCCATTAAGGAACCTTTTGGCTATCCGATTATTAATCAATTAATCGAAAAAATAATCAACAGATGAATCGATTTGCTAAATAATCATTAGTTGCACGTCGAAAATGTTTTCTTCTGACAGGCAAAAATAAAAAGTTTGGTACAAGTTTGGGTTCTTTAAAAATGAAAGTAAAGATAAGTAACGTCATAACCAGGGCTGGGCAATTAATTGCACTTGCAATATAATTGCAATTTAACAAAATGTAATTTTCAAATGGCAGAAGCAGTGATTATTATTCACATTATAAATAACAAGAGTAAGACACAAAATTTCTCCCTCCAGCCTGTTAGGTTGTGATTAAAAGCTTGAAGTGGGGTTTTGGCTGCAGGGAAAGGCAGAGAGAGTAGCAGCTAGCAGCAGATTCATGCCTGCAAGTAGAAATAAACACTTTTTCACACAGTGGTTACAGTAAAGTTCTGTAATACTGGACTCTGGGCAAACAAGCTTTCAAAAACCAGAAGTCTGGGGTTAAACATCTACAAGCTTGGGGTTAGTGCAAAGGAAAATCTAAATAAAATAATCACAATTTAGATTTTTGGCAAAATGGTTCAGCCTTACATTTGATCATACAATAAATATCAGTCTGATCTACAGTTTAGCAGGCTTTGCAGATAGGAAATTACATTAAAGATCCTTGAAACATTTTATGATATTCATTTTTAGAGGAACGGTGCAACCAAACATGTTCAGCAGGAAAATCAGTTAGCTTACAGCTCCATCCATGGTTTCTGATGCAACAAACAAAATAATGTGTTTATAACAATAAGAATAAGGTATATTACAACTATGGAGTGAAATTTGGTCCATTATTTTTACAAGTTAGGAACACATTTTGGAAAAAAACATTTGCAAACCAAAAATAAAACTTTGAAAAAAAAAAAAAAAAGGTTTTAATCTAAACAGGCTGTTTTCACAGTCTTAAATTTTTTTACGTACATTTATTTACAAATTTTTTTAACATACCGGTAGTTTATATTTTCCAAAATTTTCATTTTTAATTTGTTTTTTTTTTCCATAATTTTTTTAGATTTCATATTTTCTCTTTTTTTTTTGTTTTCTGTTTTACAGATTGAGATTTATGAATTGCATTCTTTTCCAATTCTGTTTCACAGATGACTTCTTTAGGTCCAAACAAATGCTTTTTCTCTCGACCAATAAAATGTTGTTGCTAACATCCAACCGACCAATAGAAATGCATCTTCTCTCCTCATCCCAGAGGGAAAACCGCCCCAAAAGTGAAGAGAATGTGATATATGGAACATTGGTAAAACACAGTATTAAAAAAGACTTTTCAAAAACAAATTTCAAAATATAAAATTGTAAAAAAAAAAAAAAAGAAAAAATGTCAAAAAAAGAAAAGAAAAATTGTAAAATATAAAAAAAAAAAAAAATCAGAGCAAATTTACTCTCAAAACCTTTTTTGATTCAGAAGGTTTTTAGTTTCATTTTTTGATTCCATTTTTTGTCTAATTTCAATTCCAAAATATGTTTTTTGCAACAATAATGAAACTAACTTCACTCTGGATTAACTAATCGCTAAACTACAAACCTTCTAAAAATAATTAGCTGTAATATCTTCTGTCCACTATGCATTGCTTGGTGTCAGTTACTTAAAAACACAAAGTACATAAAGTTTGCTGTTGCAATGTGGCAAAAAAAAAAATGAATGGAAGCTAAAATGTCAAAAAGCTGATGTGTAGTTTGCGTAAGAGAGGAAACCACATGAAGATGGGCTCCAGGCGTCACCAATGCGAGACTAATTCCATCCGATTTCCTCTGCAGACTGGTCCACCAGGGCGACTGCTTGGATAAGAGGCTGTATCCGCTCCTCACGCACAAGAACAGGGCGGTCACCCAGAAATGTGCCGTTTGCCACGTCTTCATCGGCAGGTGTGTAAACATGCAGCCTAAATCTGGATCTCCCTGAATTGCCTCTAACGTCGTCCTCCTTTTTATTTTATTAGATGGTACACCATCGGCGACCAGTTTGCTCCCAGTGATCCATGTATCTTCTGTGACAAATGCTTCCGGATGCTTCATTATGATGAGCAGGGCATCAAACTGGGAGAGTTCCTGGCTTATCCATACGTGGACCGCGGGGCCTTTAACTGAACTTCCTGTTATGCTGTATTATAGTTACATTTCATAAAGATGTATTTATTTTTATTTTTTTGCATAAATGTATCTTTGTTCATTAAAGCATCACTTTCATCAATTCCTCGCATATTTGCTTACGGTATATTAGAAGCAGGGGAAATGTGTCTTAGGCTACGTTCACACTGCAGCCTGAAGTGACCCAAATCCGATTTTTTTTTTGCCCATATGTGACCTGGATCTGATCTTTTCATGACAGTCTGAACAACTCGGATCTGATTTTTTCCAATTCGACCGAGGCCACTTGGCTATATGATCCTGAATCCGATCTTTTCAAATGTGACCTGTGTCTGAACGGCCAGGTCGCATTCATCCTACCTGAATGTCATTAATACCAAACAAAGGTCACTATTCTGCGTCCTGCTACGCAGAAGCGGCAAGAAAAACAACCATGGCGGACGATGATGCAGAGAGCAATATTTATGTTTAAACATATTAAAAAGATTGGAGTTTTTAAGGTTGGGAATAGATTGTGAGATGAGCTCCAGCATTACCATCCTCCTCTGTGTTTACTTCCGTAAACACGGAGCACACTGGCTTGTGACGTCATTGCGTCCTCTACTGCGCATGCGGGACACTTGCGTTGTATGAATACAGCTCACATAGGAGATCACATACAAGTCGCATTTATTTGGAAATGTGAACGGCAACGCAAAAAAAATCGGAATTGAGCATCAAGGCCTGCAGTGGGAACGTAGCCTTTGATGGGTGGCATTAAAGGAATAGTACACCCAAAACATGATTAGCCTTCATTTTCTACTCACCCCCATGCTGAACAACACCCTGGAGTACTTTTTTGATATCTCAAATGCATCTGGAGATCTGGGAGGCTTCTTGCTGTCTGCTGACATTCAAATAATGGAGGTCTATGGTGCCCGAGACAGAAAGGTCCATAAAAGTCCATAAAAACGTGTCAATATTCCTCCATACTGCTCGTCCAATGTAATCCAAGTGTCCTGAGTGGGTAGCGTCCATAATTTACTCGAAACAAAGTCATTTAGAATGTTTTTAGAGCATAAACAGTAGTGTATAGGATTTCCTGAAAGCGCGTTCACGAGTCTACGGAAACCGCGGCAGACCAAACCAGACGAAAGTGCGCATTCAGCGTCTGCTCTGCCGATAATGCAAGCGTAGAAGAAGAAATGTGCTTTTTACCTGTGCAAAGAAAGAAACAACGAAAGAAAAATGTCTGAGGACTTCAGTGTTGAGGAAGAACATGAGTTCTTTGCCGAGCTGAATGCGCACTTTCGTCTGGTTTGGTCTGCCGCGGTTTCTGTAGACTCGTGAACGCGCTTTTAGGAAATCCTATACACTACTGTTTATGCTCTAAAAACATTCTAAATGACTTTGTTTCGAGTAAATTCTGGATACTACCCACTCAGGACACTTGGAATACATTGGACGAGCAGTATGGAGGAATACTGACACGTTTTTTGTGGACTTTTATGGACCTTTCTGTCTCGGGCGCCACAGACCTCCATTATTTGAATGTCAGCAGACAGCAAGAAGCCTCCCAGATCTCCAGATGCATTTGAGATATCAAAAAAGTACTCCTGAGTGTTGTTGAGCATAGGGATGAGTAGAAAATGAAGGCTAATCATGTTTTGGGTGTACTATTCCTTTAACATAATTCCCTAAAAACGCCTTTGAAAAGATATCGAACTCAAAAATAAGATTCTACTGTGAAGTATTTCCATGTACTGAACCATATACGCTCATTATTCGGTCTGGGCTCCTATTGCATGAATACAGAGCAGCTGAGGTCCAGTGGAGGCCCAGGTTGCATTGAGATCTTCAGGTCATCTTCCTGGCTTTACAGGGTTCTGGTCAGGCCCATTTATTGAACAGTAAAGCACCGTAACACCTCAGTCACTAGGCCCCTCCTCTGGCACTCCCCAAGTCTTAAAATGGTTTTCCTACATGTTTACCTTCCACTCAACTTTCTGAACAAACCAGCTTCTTAAGTTACCAACATTTCCACAAAAAAAAGTGGATATAGCATGCATTGGCCCTTAATTTGAGCAGGGAAGTGAGATGATCTGCCAATAGAAGGCGTGTCTAAAATAAAGGAAGTCTTTTTTTAAATGTAAATCAGCTTATTCATTGTTAAATTGTCTTACCTGCTGAAAAAAGGGAAAAACACAGATTCAACATTTATTTATTGCGAGGTGCATCTTCCAGTCCTTGAGGACAGTAACTGTATTCTACACATTTGGGTCCAGTTATTTATATTTTTAAAATAGCTAAATTGGTCCATAATGTTTATAAAAAGTGTGATCGGAACTGAAGCTTTTATACATCCTTATGTCCACAGGGACATTTCTAAGATTTCACGCTGGTTCTATGTTAAAAGGATGAATGACGTCTGAATAAAACCAGAAGGCAACATGCTGTAACTACCACTTTATTACTAGATGATGACAAAAGCACAAAAATACTCTTATTTACATCTAGGTTTTAAAAAGAGACATTAAAAGACACTTAAACATGGTGGGAAATACAGCACTTTCTCGGCTAATGAAACTTTGGCAAATTCAACATCTTTCTGTTTGGATGGGAGAGGATGATCTGTTAAACATGCATCACAGAGCATTAAAACAGTTTCTCTACTTCAAGTCCGGAGCGGTTTAGTCCTAACTCTTTAAATGAAATGATGGACTCAAGATGAAGAAAGAAAGTAAAGGAATAAAATGTTCCTGACCCTGTTTTCTCTTAACATTCACACCTGCAGGTTTCTGAGCGCGACGCGGACATGAATTAAATACATCAAACAGCAGGCAGCACGAGGTGTCAAAGTACAAAAATAAACTATGCAGCAAGACGTAATCGGTGAACTGAAACCGTGGAGCAGCAACACTAAAGTTCAGAAAACTGGAAACCATTGGAATGACGGTTTTCCCAGTACAGCAGCGAATCCGTTCTTCAGGCCGGCGGGACGCTCAGCTGGACTCCTGAGCTTTCAGAAGACTGCAGTCAAACACAGAGAGGGGGAGGAGGGGGGGTTAATACAGTCTGGATGATTTATTATAACAGAGCTAATCTTAAACTAGAGAAATTACTTGAATAAACTGGGTTCCAGCAGCTTTGATTGGTGCGTTTGGCTGCTCCACTCCAAACTACAGCAGCTACACTGTTTACTGAAAAACCTTTAAAATAAGCCATTTTTTTTCTTCAGCAGCTTTCAGGAATAATAAAAAAAATGAATTCTAATAATTTTTTCCATCTGCTGACCTTTGACTGAAATATAAACAAAACGTTTCCATTTTTAAAAATGTTCCATTGGGCCAAAAAATCGTTCTGCGAATGCTGGGAGGACTGATTCCAGCTCTGCTCTCTGATCCAGATCTCGCTTCAGAACTCAGAAGTTCTGGGGTAGTTAAAGCACATCTTCTGTTCATATATTTTAGGGTTTCCAGGCATAGGATGGTGTCACATTCACTGTTCCTTCACTAAATAAAGATTTTTTTTAATGCTTTTTAGGTTCTCCTTTGTATTCTAAACATGGTTTCTTGTTCTTACAACTTGTAGAGTCATTTGAAAGGGAAAATCATGAACCAAGGTTTAACTTCTTACATATTAATTATTTAATTCACCAGGTTAATGTTAAACCTTACAGCTACTAACCGATTTAACGGCATTTTGTTTTTTATCTTGATTCACTGCTACATCCTTAATGTGCCTACTGGGTTGCACTAGACACATATTTCTAACTCATATCTAGTCTAACTGTGACCCTTACCTGAATCATTACGGGTTCATATACAACCCTGATCTAAACTCAATTCACATCTAAAGGCTGATTTTTACTCAGAAACCAGGTCGTCTGCGTGTGTCACAGTGAACGCAGAGACGTCCCCCGCCCCTGCCGCAGACACTCTGCTGCATCTCTCCATAATTATAGGTGACCGCAGACAGTGCTGCAGACAGGAGGCCCCTGATTGGTCAAATCTACATCTGCTCTATACTATTTGTATCTCCTGTTTGGTACCTTACCAGCTTGTTTGGTTTTTTATGACCGCCATTGTGGAAAATGACTGGTGAAGTTGGACCAGCTAAAGGGGCAAGGTGCGCGAGAACGCTGGGACCCTTTTCCCACCTGGATCCCCGCTCTTTTTGCCCCTCATGTCCCTCCATTGTCGGACAAACTTGCCCCCACTTCCTTACCGCCTCGGCCGTATCTAGACCCACAGCTAGTTCACGATTGTCCCTGCTGTGGGAGTATAACTTAGCCTGACGTAGTCCGACTCAATTCTAGTCAGAATATGAGTCTGATACTGCTCCATAGAGCTGTGATTATGGGGCGTGTTTCGAACGAACCAGGAAAAAAATGCCTCTGCACTCAATTGGATAGACCTACAACCAATAAGAGCAACGGAGTGCGTGACGTGTAGTAAGCGACGCAGAGTTGTTGTCAACAAAAATCAAAGCGTGCAGTTTCACGCCTAAAATAAGAAGATGAGCCTTGATCGCGTTTCTCTGTTCCTCTTTTAAAATTAATTTGCTGTCGATATCTTCTAGAACAGACCTAATAACAGAATCTACACACCTCAACTCTCCAGCGGCAGCCATTGTTGTTGTCACCCAAAGGCGCTTTGGTGACGTGGTTGATTACGTTACTGTTGATCATCTGTCCATCATCGTATAAAGCCCGCCCTGACAATTTGATTGGCCCGCCAGATATTGTGCTAGCATACTCGCACTACTATTGAGCAATGCCAGACCAAACTTACCGACCTCAAACGTTGTGGGCGGGACTAAGTTCGGAATGGCACCCAGGCTAAGTATAACCAGCCCTTCAGTCCTAAACCTAACAAAACGCTAGAAAAGCATTTGTACCCATGATGACCAGAGGTTGGTCCCCACTAGAGCACTCGGTCCCCACGGAAAATGGTCCCCATGATATAAGAAATATGCACCCACGCTCGTTCATTTTTCAGTGTTGACCTAGTGGTTAGAGCAGAGTGCTTGTGCTCTGAGAAGGTTGCAGTACCTGGTTCGATCCCCACAGCCTGCACTCTGGGTTCCTGAGCAAGACCCTTAACCCCACACTGCTCCCCAGGTGCTACACAATGGCAGCCCACTGCTCCCCAAGGGGATGGGTTAAAATGCAGAGAGGGAATTTCCCCATTGTGGGACAATAAAGGGATTTACACACACACACTACACATTCTATGTTAAATGACTGGGATTTGAACTCAACATTGAACTCATGATGGTCTCTGCAGAGTTAAATCTCATTTTGCAGAAGGAACAGTATAACCTTTAGTTTTAATAGGTTTTTTGTAATCTTAATCCAGCGTCACTGATTAACATTTTAGGTTCCACTGGTGAGCAATTCCCACTCTGAGGCTTATTTCCTCCTGTTGCTTGGCGGATGTTCTTTTCTGCTCGCGCTCTTTCTGATTGAACTCTGCTAACTGATTAACACCACCTGTCCAGAAACCAAAGATCCTGAAAAGCAAACCGCTGAATAAGTGGACTCAGAATATCTGCTCTCTACTCAGATTAGGTTAATCCAACTCCCTGAAACGAGGCCCTGCTTTGCTCTTGGGAGAGGATTGCTCCATGTTAAAAACAGTTCACTCCTACTAACAAACTTATCAAAAAAGGAATCCTTACCTCTAATATTAATGGATTTTTCTTGCATTATCTTATTTTATTTAAAGTAATAAAAACTAAAGAATCTGTTAAATTAGGCTCAAACGTTCTGGTTGATTTTACATCAGTTTAATGACTCTTCTAAATAAAATCTGATCCCTCCGAGTCTAAAACCAGAAGATGAGCAGAAAAGTGGATCCAATAGTTAAAGGTCTCCTTTCAGTCCAGGAAGCTCAAACCTGGATCCTCTACCTGTGATTTTCTCCTGCTGAGGCATCTTCAAGCTTTTCCATCTCCACCTCCTGCTTCTTCTCCTCAGGGCTGATGTCCCCGTTGGTCACCTTGTCTGCAGGGCAGGAATGGAGAGTTTTTCAGTATAATAATATGATTTAAAAGCACCACTCAGGTCACTTAAGGGCACTGAACAATCGCTCTATAATTGTACGGTGAACGGCCTTAATTTCCGAACCAGCGCGAGCAGCAGCATGTGATGACACCCAGCTCTGCAGAACTTCGCTAAATTGATAGATTTTCCATCCATTTGCTGCGCTGTGCAAAAATAAAAAGACAACCCATCAAATTTGGTATTTAGGAGTAAGGTTGTGGCGGCAGTATTTGATAAAAGCTCGTTTCTCCTGAGAAGGTCAACCACAGAGATCCCATGACAGCCCAGGGGGAAGGAGAGGCAGCAGGCTGAGCGCTGAGCTCCTTCCTGGATTCAAACCGCCTGTAATTTTTATCCATTTATCAACCAGAGGAATTTTCCTCATACACTAGAAGCAGATGTAATCATTTTTCACAGTAACAGACAAAAAGAAAAGTTTCTATGAAACCACTCCCTTTTATGTTCAACCAAAAATATATTATTCATTAAAAGTTAATCGAGAAAATACCTAAAACCATTTTATATTGGAGTCTGATGATTAAACATCTTGATCATCTTTTTAACATCTGAGCATGTGCAAAGGGTTAATAAGCTTCAGCAGTCCGTAGGGATGTGCAAATTAATCATCACGACGATGCATCGCGATTCTAATTTTTGTGATCTGCTGCATCGATTCTTGACGCCAAGTATCGATTCTTAATTTTTAAAAATGAACAAAAAATATACATGAATGGTTGGCGCACATCAGCCAAATCAAGTGGAATACAACTTCCAGTCCAGCAGATGTCGCTGTGGATGTGTTGACGCCCGCTGCCTTGTGTCACAAGCATTTCCGGCCGCGGGATACTGAGACGAGTCATTAGTAAACAAAACATGGAGGACACTGAGGAAATCCGCCCGGCTCCATCACATTTCAAGTCAGATGCTTGGATGCATTTTGGCTTTAAAAACAAAGAAGGTAAAAACTAAATTGATATGACGCATGTCATTTGCAAAAGGGGAAATATATATATGAATGTTTTCGTTTCACTGGTTTAAAGGACCACTGAGGCCATGTAAACGGCACTGGTTATCCTTATTTTGTTATTTTAAGTTTGATGAATCCTAAGATCTTTTTGTCAGTGTGTCCACGCCAGTAATATTTCTGTCCAGTATTTGTTTTCATGGCAACACCTCCAAAAGTCATTTCAATAAATACAGCTATGTACGAATTCAGTTGCTTTCAGTTATGTATCAATTGAAGACACTATCCAGATCACACCCAGCCAGTCAGCCACTGGTAATGGCTGTATCCTTTTCCTACAGTGTTCAGTAAAAATATCGCAATGCATCGCGATGCATCGCAATATTTCAAGTATCTTGATGCATCGTGATAGAATCGCATCGTGGCATGTGAATCGTGATTCGAATCGAATCATGACTTCTTTGCCAATACCCACCCCTAACGGTCCGTCAGTCTGGGTCAGAAGGCAACAGGACCATGAAGGCGAGCGCTGGACTGGACGGAGGTTTTCTAACATCTTCATTGATTTTATTTAGCCTTTATTTTACCAGGAAAGATCTCTGTTACAAGGATGTCCTGCAACAAGCTGCTACATGTACATTAACCTTATTCACAGGAGTAACACTAGTGCTGAAATGTTTACAACAAAGTATAAAATAAGATGTAAAAAAATACAATTTTAAATATAATTCAACTAAATGTTACACGTTACCAGATGTATTTATCAGGGTTTATACAGGAATGAGTAACTCTAATTGAATGCTCTTTTAATGCTCTTAGAAATAATTTCAATGCCATTAACAAGTACCCATAATTTTTATCGTCGACAGGCTGCAGGCATGTCCCGATTTCCTCGTTTTCCAGCATCTTTTGTTGAAATTTGCATTTTCCCATTCTCTAGCTTTTTGCATTGATGCAGCGATTCATGAAAAAGGAGCTCAAACCCAGTATTCAAATCATAGAAACAAACAGGCCTTTTAAAGGAAAAGTTATCCGGTCATATTCAGAATTCAACCTTCTGAAAGTACGTTTTCTGTGGCCAGAAGTTCGATGGCAAATCCTCCCTCTTCAAGTTGGCAATCCAATGACAAACCCGTCCGTGGAGGATCAGGAATCAGAAATGTGAAGTAACTAATTTCTTTAACTTTTACCTGATGTATTCCAACATCCAGCTGCCATGGACATTGGGCATTGTCGGTTTAACTATAGCTCTGGTGAATTTCAATGGTGAAGTCCTCTGGAAATCTTTAATAATTGTTGTTGATTGCAGATGTGTCTAGTAGTTCCCATTGAGTTTGCTTGTAAAGCGGGGAGAATGGCGCTAGGCTTACCGCACCATGACGTCATTGCTGGAGGATGTCAGCAGAGGTGTTACTATATTTAGGCAAAAATGGCCGCTCCCAGACGAAAATTGTTTTTATTTTTTTACTGATTAACACTAAATTCATTAAATCAACGCGAATGTATTAGTTTTAGGTATAACTGTACATTGGTTATTCTTTTGCTGACTTCTCCTGTAAAAGCCTGATTTCTGATTTCAATTTCATTGATGCCATGTAATATTTAATGACTGGATTTGAAGTATATCCCTCTAGGCGTGATGAATGCAAGCAGGTTTCCCCCTTTTAAAATGATAAGAGCTTCTTCTGAACTCTACCTGTGCTGCCGTCCTTGACGTGCTCCACTCTCTTCAGAGCTCCTTTCTTGGCCTCTTCATGCTGCCTCTGCTCAGCTAAGGACTTGTTCAGCACCTGGCTGAGCACGCACTCGCCTTCCCCCACCAGAAACATGGTCTTAAACTTGTTGTACAACATGGAGGCTTTGTCCATGATGTCCTGGCTGGCCTTGAACCTCCGGATCTGGATGATAAACAGGATCAGCAGCACGTCAGAGGTCTATAGGCTATAAAAACAAACCAAACTCTGCAGTTCTACCTTTTTGAGCGTTGCAATAAGTTCACTGTGTCTCTGCAGGTGCTGAGTCGTCACCTGAAGGGAGCCGATCTCATCTAATGCGTCCAAGCACTTCTTCACGTCCTAGTGAGGGAGATCAGGGGATGGAGGGAAAACAAGGAGATCTTTAGACTGATAAATAATTTGGGCTCCCTCATATTCTTCCTGCTGGATTATTTCTTTATGCACCTGTGGCAGTCTTTGATGAGCTGTATAAGGATATTTAAGCAAAACTTGTTTTTTTTTAAAACACTGACATTTGATTGAATATACTCACCCAAACAAAGCTCTTAAATACATTACCTACTACATTATTGAACTGATTAGGTTTTTTGGGGGGAAGATTTCGGATTCAAGAGTAAATTGTGGGACTGAACAGCTGATTTTATTTTTCTATTCCATGAACTTTTAAGACTAGGCTTAAAATTTTCCCTTTTTGACAAAGCTTACAGTTGGAGTGGCTGAGGTCATCCTGAACTATCTCTATATGCTGCTATAGGCTTAGGCTGCTGGAGGACATAGGGACCACCTTTCATCATTCTATCCCTATTCTTCAATTCTGCACTGTTATTATTCTAACAGCTAACCTTATGTTCTTTCTCGCGACACCATCCAGGAGAGAAATATAATCGGAAACGCTGCCATCAACACATCTGATTACAGATGATAGAGTTGGGCCTGTATTTATAGTTTTTTTTATTGTTTAGTCCAGTTTCTCTTCCAGACATAGCAATAAGCTTAGCTCTTCGCGTAACTTACTTTATTTGTTCTCCTTAATCCCTTTTACATGAAAGCCTGGCTCAGAGCTCATCTGGTTAACCGTCTCTTTCCCTTTTTAACATAGAAAGTATTTATAGATCAGTGCTTTTATGTTTGTTTTGTACGTTTACTTCTGTCTACTTGAAGCCCCAGTTTGCCACAGCAGAAGGCAGCTCACACTAACCTGATTGAGCTGTAAATGTCTTCCTGTTAAATGGAAGTTTTTCCTGTACACTGTCCCGGCATGCATGCTCAGTATGAGGGATTGCTGCAGTCAGCTACATAATGCAAGTAAATATCTACAGTGGCCTCATGCTCACACAGGAGTGTGTCGTACAAATCAATGACTGGAAGCAATCAGCTGGTTTTCTTAAACAGAAAATGCCACATATCCTCTGTAACGTATAGTGGAGGATCAGTCATGCTGTGGGCTCAAAGATTCCCCAAACTACTCGTAGAAAGTGTGAACAGCATGGATGCCGAAAACTGAATTTATTATTCAACCGTGCTTAATTAGTATAATTCAATTTGAGTGTGAAATGGTTCTACTGCAGTAACCAGGTAGTCAATAGATAGAAAGTGCTGTTGAGTTAAGAAGAACTTACAGGGTTGTCGATTTTAAGGGAAATTCTGATCTCACTGTGGAGCTTCTGGAGCTTCAGGTCAGTCGACATTTCTGAAACATAGAATGCAAAAGAGGATGATTAGTCTAAAGAATAAGAATCTGAATAATAAAAGACATCTGGAAACAGGCACTCCAATGCTTTTTTATGAAGAGTGCTGGTTATTCTGACTTAATTTATTATTTATTTAAAAACATCGTCCAGACTGACCTTTTTTTTTGGGTCCTGCCTCCATTTTCTTCACATCCTCTTTTTCAGGCCTGAAGGAGAGAGAGAGAAAAACAGCGTTAGGATCCTCCTGATCCAAATCACCCAGGGTTCAAGGCGCCAGAGAACCACATATTTAGAGGGACTTCTTAACCCGAGATAAAAATGGTTGTATTTCAGAGGTTTTATTGAAGGCATTTAAATGGACACAATGACCTGGTCTTGATAATGAGTTGATCTGATGGTGAGATATCAGCTTTCTGCTACAGTTAAGCCACATTTATCCATCCCTCACAGCAACACGGTGAAAGTTAAACCAGAGAGGAAAGATGAGCCCAGCCTGCTGGAGGAGAGACATGAACTCACTCTCTGGATTCGTCTGCTTTCCATCGCCTCACATCTTTCTCCGGTTCAGAGTTCTGCAGCTTCTTCCTGCCTTTGCTTTTCTGAAACTAACAGAAAAAAGAAAACATTAGTGAGGATCCTCTGGTCACACCGTCTGGACGTGTATGCGGAGCCTTGCCTCGTCGTCATCGGAGCCGGAGGAGCCGTCATCCTTCGACAGCTTCTTCTTCTTGGCTTCAGACTCTTTCAGCTCGGCTTCCTTTCCCTTACTGCCCTCCCTCTTCTTCCTCTTTTCCTCCTCTCCGCTCTGCTGCTTGTCGTCCACTGTCCTCCTTCGCTTCCTCTCTGACTCACTTGTTTCCCTAAGAGAGGATAAAAAGCAGAAGGAGCTATAATTAAGAGCTTTCGTTTCCTTATTGGGTGTCGTAGGACGGCTGAATCGATCGTTTACACTTCACTTCCGGATCCCTGCTGGTCCTGCTGGAGCAAAATCAGCTTCTCGCTTTTGGGCTTCCTGCCTCTTCGTTTAGGACCCTCTGCACCTGATTCCATGAACAAGAAAAACACAAAGTTTAACATTCAGTTTGTGCAACAGGGGTTCATAAAGCATCACTGCCCTCTATGCGTGTTTGATTCATTCTTCAAGGCTTTTCTGATTATTCCATCACCTATGCAAGACCTTTCTACCCCCTCTGTAACATTTCTAAACTCCACCGAAAAGCTGGTTTATGCATTTGTCTCCTCTAGACTGGACTATTGCAAAGCACTTCTCATTGGGATCCCTAGAAATAGTCTGCAGAGGCTTCAGTACATTCAAAACTCTGCAGCTAGGATCCTAATGAGAGTGCAGAGCACTTTACCCACATTCTCCATTCATTACAATGACTTACCACCCCAACCAGGATTGACTGCAAGGTTTCCCTCATCACACATCAATGCATCCATGGAGATGCAAACCTCTACCTCAAAGAACTTAACACACAAACAGAACACAACCAGCTCCCTTTGCTTCACTCATTCAAACTTCTCCACATTCCCACAACCAGACTCAGGACAATAGGAGATGGGGCATTTTGTGCTGCTGCCCCACATCTGTGGAATGCCCTCCCTGACACCTTGGCTACGTTCACACTGCAGCCTGAAGTGACCTAAATCCTATGTGGTCCTGAATCCGATCTTTTCAAATGCAACCTGTGTCTGAACGACCAGGTCGCATTCATCCGACCTGAACGCTATTTATACCCGACAAAGGTCACTATTCTGGGTCTTGCTATGAAGAAGTGGTAAAAAAACAACGATAGCAGATGATGATGCGGAGAGCTGTATTTATGTCTAACCATCTTGAAAAGATCGCTAGATGCACTCCAGCACTATCATCCATGTTTACTTCCGTAAACACAGAGCACGCTGGCCTGTGACGTCATTGCGTCCTCTACTGTGTAGGGGTGTGCAAAATAATCGTGATGATGATGCATCGTGATTCTAATTTTTGTGATCTACTGCATCGATTCTTGATGCCAAGAATCGATTATTAATTTAAAAAAATGAATAAATAAAATTGCATGAATGGTTGGCGAACATCAGCCAAAAACAAGTGCAATACCACTTCCAGTCCAGTAGATGTTGCTGCAAATGTGTTGACGCACGCTGCCTTGTGTCACAAGCATTTTCGGCCGTGGGATACTGTGCCGAGTCATTCAAAAACAAAACATGGAGGAGAAAATATTGCAATTCATCGCAATAATTCAAGTATCGTGATGTATCGTGATAGAATCGCATCGTGGCCTGTGAATCGTGATTCGAATCGAATCGTGACTTCTTTGGCAATACCCACCCCTACTACTGTGCATGCGGGACACTTGCGATGAAAATGTGAATGGCAACGCAGAAAAACAAATCGGATTTCACACACACACAAAAGTGTGAACGTAGCCTTTGAGGACACCTCAATCCACTGAATTGAAAAAAGGCCTTAAAACATTTCTTTTTAGCAAAGCTTTTGCTCCCCTTTAAATTTTTTTTCATGGTATTCTCTTTTTAACTGTAGCGCTTTGAGATCTTTTCATGGAAAGTGCAGTATAAATTAAATGTATTATTATTTGTAGTGAGTTTCTGATTCTTCATAATGATGCTCAAAAGTTTAAGCAGTGAAGCACATTTTATGAAAACTTTGCAGCTATAGTTCTGTGGAGGAAGTTCTTCTGGTTTTAGATGATTGTGCAAAAAAAACAAAAAGTTTTTTAACTTTAATTTACAAGCACATTAAATCATAGAAAAGAGTAGCAATCATTTTTCAAATCGTCACAAGATGTTAGTCTGCAAGAATCATCACTTTGCACCAAAATGGCCTCTGATGGAAAAATTTATAAAAACCTGCTGTAAATAACCGTTAAAGCAAAATTTTCTGCATCTTAATACGCTTCAGTAGGTTCAATGGGGCCCAGGATCTTGTTGCCACCAGCGCAGAGCTTGCTCAACATCAGCTGCATGTAAATGGGAGACACTGGAACAATCAATGAGCCGCTTCTATCCAAGAAAGACTGAAATGTCGCCCCATATTCAAAGATGGACGGTGTTCTGGAAGGTGAGAACAATGAGTCCCGTGAGAAACGCACTGTATGAACAGTAATGCTGCTAATCCATGGCAGAGACCTTCTTATAGATCTACTCAGCGGCGTAGGAAGCGGGGGGGGACGGGGGGGACATGTCCCCCCCAATATAAAAGCCAGGTGGATATGTCCCCCCCAAAAAATTGTACCGCAACATATTATTTTGACATTTTTTTTAACTAGCGTGCTTTTATTTTGAAGGCGCAGCATAGCGTTACGTCACTGTACTCCCCCTCCCCTCTCTGAACTGCTGTGTGTTTGAAGGGAGGGAAACAGCGACACAGAATTCAGAAACTTGTGAATGAGGTGAAATGGTCTGTCGGGAATGCTGCTATGAATATTGCCAATTTATAACGTCTTGTCAGTTCACTTTCATATATAGAAACTGAATCTTTTTGGTTTAGTCATCTTGGTCTTGTACGGAAGAGGATTAGGGCCACTGAAAAAAAAAAGGTTAACTGATTTTTACTTTTTTTTTTTAGTTTAACATGGGTAAAAAAGTCAGAATTCTGACTTTTTTCTTCTGACATTTTTTCTCATAAATCTGACAGATGATTAATATTTCTAATCAATTTACAGTGTTTTTTTTTTTTTTGGGGGGGGGGGGTACTATACAGATATATAAAAACAAGAAGGTCTAACTAAAAAATAACCAGAATATATGTTTAGAGTAAAGATTGACTACTTGTGTTTACACAAGCACACAATTTCAAATCTGCTGAGCTTGCTGTGCAAGAAAATGTAAAATACACTTTTAAAGAAATATAACAGGATGTACTGATAAAACAAACTAAATGCTAAATAATGTAGATATTGGTTTAAAAAATTCTTCAGATTTGGAAATTTGGAAGGAATACATAATTTTGAAATTAATCAACAAATCTGGTAAAAAAAAAAATAAAAGTTGCACTTTTTTACTTGAGGAATTTGTTGAATCACTTCATAATTATGAGTTTAACTAGTTGGAGGTAATGCTACACTTCTCTGCTTACTGTCCTGCTCATAAAAGGTAAACATTATAAACCCACCATTAATTTTCTATACTATTTGGAAAACACAACACAAATGTAATATAACAAAATGTTAACATCAAGCCATAGCCATGTCTGTTTTAGAGACTAGCTCTCTTGTTTTAATGACCTTCTGCTCCTCCATTAATGAGGGGACCCCTCGGGCACGTAAAAAGTTGCCACCAATGTGTCACTGGCTCTCTCAAACAAACTCACATCTTTGTCAGTGAAGCTGAGTGCTCCACATCTCTGCCTTCATGGTGCCCATCTACATTAAGATCCAAAATTCTGAGAAAAAAAGTCAGAATTCTGGGATTAAAGTCAGAATTCTGAGAAAACAAGTCTTAATTCTGAGAAAAAAAAAGTCAGAATTCTGAGAAAAAAAGTCAGAATTCGGACTTTTTTCCCATATTAAACTGAAATAAAATTTAAAAATCACTTAACTTTTTTTTTTTCAATGGCCCTATCCTCTTCTGTAGTCTTGGGCTGATCACTCATCCAATATTTAACTGCTTACTTTCTCTAGATGTTTGCCACGCTAGCCAAAATGTTTTTTTTTTTTTTTATATATATATCTCATTTAAGTACAATGCCACCACCAACTAAAAGGCTGAAACAGCAGTAGGACTTACTCAGATTTTTTTAAAAGAGAAACGTCAGTGTGAGTAACAGTCACCTAACACAACTTGTGTTGAAATTAGCCCGGTCTGGGCGTGAGTTTTACGAGGATTTATTATTTTTTTCGTGGTTTTGATTCCTCGAAATGGACAGATGTTATACCTGCCGTGCTCCTGATCGTTAGTTAAAACCACAGGGAGAATTAATTTTAATTCTTAGCAGCGGCGGTCGCATTGGTTGTGCAACCACTAATTAACCAACTAATTAACTTCTGCACCTTTATTTCCTCAAATAAACTGCTGGCTCCTCTTTTTAGACTATAAACAGATTAACACAACATTGACAACTCTGTAGTTTCTCTGTTCTCTACTGCAAACTGGAATTAAAGGCGCCATTTCTACCAAAGGTCTGGACAGACTGGCGCACCAGCACCTCCTGACCCCACTAAGGGACAGGGTGTACAGAAAATGGAAGGATAGATGGATTTCTACCAAAGGTTTAGAATACGTTTTTGAACCAGATGCTTCAAAGCGCCCTGTCCATAATTCTTCAACACACTGTCAGCTCCCTCTGTCAGTCAACCTATATAAATTCATTTTTGACCATTATTGCAAGTTTGAAAAAATAAAACATATCAAACTTTGCACTTCTGTGGCCTACTGAATTGTTTTTAATCAAACTGAAATATTTGATTTTCTAATGCGTATGCGGACACTAAATATGCCAAGGGCTGAAGCCCTTGAAAGACATCTCCCTTTGCTTAATAAAAGACTCCAGTCATTTTGTTTGGTGATATGCTCACATCTTATGAACAAATGCATTATGTAAATTTTAAATGCATTATTTTTGCAAACACATTTATAAAGGAATAAAGTAAAAGATTAAATAGCCTTTTTTTTAAGTAGCGTACTTAAGATATGTTTCTGTTGAATATTTACGAATCTCAGATTTCCGACATGTGTCCCCCCCAATTATAAACATATTCCTACGCCCTTGGATCTACTCAACATCTAAACCCCACTAAGTTAAGAGGTGGAAAAACACTAGGGCTAGGTATATCGCTTAAAATCTAATCACCATTTTTTTTACTATCAAATCGGATTAATTGATTTTATTTCCCAAGTTTAGTTTCATAATACTAAAAAAACAAACCAAATTACATTTATTGCTTTCAAGAACTGGCTTTTATTTCAATGATCCTCTCCGGGAGGTGATCTTAATTTAAAATTCAAGCTGTGAAACAGCCGTAAAAAAGTCAAAATCGAAACAATAAAAATACAACTAACAGCTTTTGGAATCATCAGCTATGAGGAGACATCCAAGAACAAACGGTAATGAACTGATGTCACTATGAGCTAAGTCTGAACGATTTTAGCAAAAATCTAAATTGCGATTGTTTTTAACCAAAGCTGCGACTTTATTTCGTTTTTCCTTTGCACTAACCTCAAGCCCTTAGATGTTTCAATCCAGGCTTTCAGTTTCTGAAAGCTTGTTTTCCCAAAGTCTAATGTTACAGAACTTCACTGTAACTACTGAGTGAAAAAGTGTTTTCCTCTACCGGCCTGCATGGATCTGCTGCTAGCTGCAAATCTATCCACCTGTCTGTGTGGTGAAAACCTACTTCAAGCATTTTTCCACCATCTAAATGGCTGGAGGGAGAAGTTTAGTGTCTTACTCTGGCCAATTATTCTGCGATTTAAACATCACATAGCAAAAATGATCTAAAAATAAGTAAAAATGTCTTAAATTAAGTGAATTTACTCTTAATTTGAGCAGGTAAATAAGATCGTTTAACAATGGAATGAGTAGTTTTACACAGAATAAGATAATTAGATACTATGCACTTGAAATAACAAAATTTAGATGTTTTTTTTCTTATTTTCAATGTAAATTGTCTTGTTCCATTGGCAAAGTGTCTCATTTACCTCCTCAGTTGAAGAAAAAAAATGCACAAATTTAAAGAAAAAAAAAAAAACTTATTTAGATTAACATTTTTTTTTGCAGTGCAGTGCTCTACAATTTGAAAATTGCATTTTTTTTAAATTGCGATTATATTGCAAATGTAAGTAATTGCCCAGAAGGACAAGAATTGGTGGAAAACAAAATAAAAATCTTAGAAATAAAAAACAAAATTGGATTAATTGATTTAAAATAAATAATAAAGCCAAGAATGGGTCAGGATTAGACCAGAGTAAATTACAAAACATTGCAAAAACAGACTTTGCTTAGATTTTATGTATATTAAGATTTTAAAATCTGTAGGAGGCAAAAAGAAAACCCATCAGATCACAGCCAACCTTTTACCACCTCTGCAGTTTGTGACAGACTGATGCGAATGCAGCAGAAATCCTACCTGATTGACTCATAGGGCTCCCTGGATCCTCCTCTTTGTCATTATCCTGTTCAGTCTAAAAAAAAAAAAAAGAAACACTGAAATTAACAATGTCACAATTAAGTTGCTCCAATACATTTAGTAAACTCATTTAAACATGCGCAGGATTACTGCCAACCTTTTTCTTTCTCCCTCTCTTGGGTTTTAATAGATCATTTGACTCCTTCAGAGCAGAAACCTAAAAATTAATCATAAAAATATGTTTTTATTTCAGTTTATCTCAAACACAATGAGCCTTGCAATTCAGCAGAATGTTAGAAGCTGCAAAAGCAAAAGCCGAACACAAACCAAATATATAGATTTACTTCTCAGTATAGAGACACAGCACCCTCTAGTGGGCAGTTGTAGTGTTGCACCCACTTGAATATTCGTAGAGAGGGAATATTGTTATACTTACTTTCTTTTAGAGATTGTTTGCATATAAAATAAAACGAAAATCTGATTTTGTCAGTAGAAACTGATATTCTGCAATGTGATGAATTTAGCATGAATAGTTGTTTGTTAAAGTCAGATTATGGTAAAGAAGTGAATTGGTGAAATCATGCAGCAGTAAGACAGAGAAGCAGGAAACTGACCCAAAACAGAAGGAAAACTTTTGTATTTCATATAAGCTCAGTCAGGATTTCATGTTTTGTTCAAACACCATAAGAGAGCGTCAAATGTTCCCCTCAAAGTGACCAAAAAATACAAAAAGCTTTGATTTCTGTTGGATGTTTAATCACCAGGAGAAAACCGGACACCCTGCACGCAAATCTAAAGCGGCCTGAGAAACAGTTTTGACCAAAAAGGGGATTTTCAAATCAATCAGGAATAAAATAGAGATAAAAGGATTAAAACCACCCGGTGCAGCATGCTGTTCCACCGAATTAAGGGGATGAAATGACCTGCAACGCTTCACGGAGCCCAACATGCAAACGTACGTACATCCTGGTTCTGAGGACCCTGCTCAGACATCAGAGACCCTTCCTCCTTCTCTTCCTCCTCCTCCTCAGCCTCTTTTCCTGGAACCTGAATGCACCCAAGACACAGCATAGGACGCAGCGTGGTGGGGTCAACCAGTCTTGAAAGGGAGAGAAGTCAGCCAGTATTCTTCTGTAGCACACCCTGCTTTTATTCTGCTACCAGAGAACAACTCTACTGTTACGTGGAAACGAATTCCTCCACTTGTGATGCAGACACACAACAACAAGGAAGATTTGACAGGCAGAATAAAGCTAAAGCAAAAAGAAATCTGACAACAGAAGAGATTCAATGCAGTGAAGCATCTGTATGTATTTGCATGGGAATGAAAGACATGAAAGGATAAAAAAGAAAAAAAAAAAGAAGGAAACTTTAAAAACTTACTTTGGATTTGATTCCTTTATCGGCTGTTTCTTCTTCTCCGTCTGGACCGCTGTCCAAGTCCTTCTCCATGAAGGACGGAGGAGGAACCGGCTTCAAAGAAAAACAGCATTGGATTAACTAAGACCTCAGCTTGATGAGACGACATTACAGCCACATTAGATGATGCGACGCACTCATTCAGATCTTTAACCTCCAAACAAGTTGAATGGCATACCTTGGGTGCAGTCAGCTCCACTTTGGGATTGTTTTCGATCTCCCATAATCCTTCATTGAAGCCTTTCCTCTTGTTGGGTTTAGCATATTTGTCTTTGTTTGGCAAGTATGGAAAAATGTCCTTTGGCCCGAGAAATGCTCTGCAGGAGAAAAAAAACAATGTCACTCATGCATGTATACAAATACTACTCTGTAAACCATAAAAAAATGCAGCAGATTGGCAAAAGACCAGACCTGATTAAGAAAAGAAGGCAACTAAAAACAGACCTCATCAAACATCCCTGCATCTAACACCTTTAAACCATTTCATCTACTGAACTTTGTATATGAATCTGGAATATGAAACCTCCTGGAGAGGAAATGCATCTGCGTTGGTTCCTCTGAAACATGACAATATGCCGTCTCTTTATATCAAGCCCGGATCTCATGACAGGATCCAAGTAGAGCTGAAGTTCATGATGTGGTTTACGGTATAGATAGTGATGGTTAATGAGGCATCTTGAAGCCAAACTATATTGATGCTGCGTTGATACTGTCTCAGAGAATACTGACACCTGCTGGACTTTTAAAGACACTACAGGCAGCTGATTTTAACTGAATTAATTTGATCACTTTGTACTATGATATGATTGAAGTTATTGTAGGTTATATTTTATTATTTCATATCTATGCTTAAACTGAAAATATCTTTGATATTTTTAGATGCAGCCAAAAAATAATGTAAACATATATGCAGGAGCCAAATATTTTTTGTTAATAATTAACAAGGTTTTTTGTTTTTGTGGATAATCTAGCAAAGTTTATTCTACTTTATTGTTATGAGATTAAGTTTTTTGGTTATTTAGTCATGTTCCTTTGTTTTTTGTTAGTTATGATTAATTTGCGTGAATTATTTTTATAAATAGGCTGTCAGTGGTAGGACCAGCATGCATCTGGGTGGGCGTATGTTTTTTTTTTAGAAGCATGGAAGAAATGTTTGCCTTTTTCTGTTTGTTTGCCTGAGGAGAAATAAACTGAGAAAACTAAAACTACTTTTTTTCTTTTGCCTGCGTAAATTACTTAGTCCATGATGCATCTGCGGCCTTTGTGGATTTCTTATTTTTGTGTGTGCCATCAAAGCTGGGCCACAACAATATATCATAACGTGAAATTTTAGGGGAAAATGCCAATGGGGATTCTTGTGGACTAGGTTTTTAAATAATATTTTAAAACGATAAGTACGATAAAAACAGTAAATAAACTAAGAGTCAATTTGAAATTAACTTTAATTCGGATAAGTTCAGTGAAAACTAAGAGGAAAAGGATGACACAACGAGAAAATTAAAATTACACAGGTGAAACTTTCCAATTCCTTTCAGGCTGCTAAAATTCTTGATAATTTTAATGATAAACCATAAAAGAGAATTTTTTTTTAGCAGATGCATTATGTTGATAGATAAGTTTTTTAACACAGTTTAGTGAGTCAATCAGTTAGAAACAACTCCTGTATCGGTCACAGGACTTTCTGGAAACAACCCGCGCTCCGATACAGTGCTCTACAGGCTCCACGCATGCAGAGAGGCATCGGTGTTGCTGGACCCATCAGGGTAGAGGTTTAGTACTCACGTTTCATGAGTGCCAAAGAAGAAAATAGGATACTTGATGTTCGATGGTTTTACAGCCCCATCTGGTACTTCATCAATCTATAAAAAAACAACAAAAACTATAAATGGACGAGTAATTAAAGCTAGTAGGTATACGGTAAGATCTTTGTGAAACAGCTTAGACGTACCCTGGCAGGCCAGTGAGGATAACCCTTCATTTTGGCAAAAATAAGGTCACCTGGCTTCCAATCTCGAGCCATGTTTAATGGGAAATCAAGCTGTAAAACAAAACAAAACACCAAAATTACATCTTCTCTAACCACTTAGACTGGAGCCAAGGCTTTAGACCAACTAATTAAAGGCAAATTAAAATCCAAATGACTTGACTTCTTGAGATCCTACTAAAACAGGAAACTTGAATGTGTTTTAAATGGATCTCATGGAATCAGTCTGTAATACCGAAGCAGAATAAACCAGTGGTTTTAAATGTTTTCCTAACCTGAAACACTTTAGCATAAGGGCTGCCCCAGTCTCCACTTGTTTACAACCTCTAAAAAGTTTCTTCCAAAAGACCAAATGGAAGTTAACTCTATCCCTCTACTAGCTAAAATGTCCCCACAGCCTGATTCTGCCATCACCGTGTTAAACAGCAGGGGAAATCTAATTAGAGCCGACAATGTCTCCCTTTAAACAGCGGCTTTCTTCTCACCACTTATTTTAACAGTTGGTTAACATATTTCCACCTGAGCTGAAGATCTCCACAGCTCCTCCATTGTTGCCATGGGTTACTATGGCTCCTCCTCTAATTGATGCCATCCTTGCAGGGAGGGGGAAATCTTTTGAATAGACTATTTCTCTCAACAAAGGATTATGTTTAGCCAGTCCTCTGCACAGGTCGGCATTGTGAACATTATGACTAATAGTTGTCGTGACAACGGATTAATCCACCTGCGTTCTCTTCCTTTAATAGTCTCTGCATGCCTAGACTGCATTCCAGATGGATGCACATGTCCTGGGATGTGTACATTGTTCAAACTTTTAACAAGATGAAACGTTTGGTGAGATGTTGAAACCTTAGGATATAATTTTAGAACATTTTGCCCTGCTTCTCCAAAACTTTCCACCCTTGGAGTTTGTTCTTTAATAAACCTCCGAGGCCTCCGCAGAACAGCTGCATTTATACCCCAGGTAATGACGCACAGGTGGAATCAGTTGGAGGCATAGGATATATTAAAAAAGTGCTGCTTATCTAAAAACTCGGTTTATACATCATATAATTAATAACTACGTTGATCTGCAGGATGACGACCAGGACGTAAACGCGAAACGCCACATTACCACGACTTAGCTAGCTTAAAATAAGCACAAAAAGCTAATGAAAGTGTGTGGTTAATTTACCTCCGTTCTGTGCAGGCTTCTTGAAAAGGGGAAGGGTATTGGTTGCAGTTGATTAAAGCCTGTATGCGATGTTATTTCACCAATAACACAAAACGCTCCCTTTTCCGCAGAGGCGACGCACGTTTTCCGCTCCCGCGCAGGACGTCGTCGGAATGTACCACTGCTGTGTGGAAACGCGGGGGTGTCTGATTTGACAACATGACAGTACCGCTGCTGTGACTGCATTAAAAGCTGCAATACTTCATAACTTCAACTTTTAGTGACTCTAAAAACATTACTTGTATTTGTTGTATTAATAACGAAGCCACGCAACTGTTAAATATAATTTAATTGCGTAATTATGTGAGACAGCCCTGACAATTTAAAGATCGTGTAATAAAGCAAGATGGGCTACTAGGAACCGGATTTGTAAACGAGGATGTACCAAGATAACATAGCTTTTGACATCGTGGCTTAAATTAAATTGCCCTTGTAACGCAAAGAGGGAAAACATAAACCTCGGGAATTCAAATATGCATTTGGTTGCAAAGGTATTTCAATGGAAATCATACAAAGCTGTCATTATATTGTAGATACTGGAAGAATCAGAGTAGGAGCTCTGAAGTGTTACATTTTCGGGTCTCCTCTTTGGCAGTGATGCTGATAAATTTTAAAGAGTAGGGCGCTTCTTTCTTGTCTAAAACGTGTAGAATTTGTAACACCTTAAAAACTAAATTGTAAATGAGAATTTAAACATCAGCTAATATATTGAACAGATATGGAGATAGGGTAAGAAGCAAAAAAAAAACAAAAAAAAAAACAAAAACGAACCCTAAAATAAATAATATTAATAAAATTGATTTGGCTTATGTCTTTTAGTGCATACTTCTTTAGGTACATACATGGAAAAAAGCTAAGATTATGAACGTTTTGGTCAGTCCGAAAAATCAATAATAATACTTAAAAGGACTCAACCATGATAGTAAAAAATAAATTAATTTAACATTAGGCTTTTATTCTATTTGTTTCTGCACAATTCAAAATAAATGCAATTATTAGAAATTCATTGTTAATCAAAATGATTCACATCAGGATAAAAACTTAAACTTTATAAATAAAATATACGTACACCTTGTTGAAATTAGATTCGTATTTAGTGACCTCTGGTGGTTTAATCTAGCATAACATCTGCAGTCCATAAATCCACTTAAGAGATTTTTGTCCATGTATATAACATAACGTTATATTAGAAAATAGCTGATCATAGCACAATTCTATAGTTTTTGTTTTTGTTGAAATGAAAACAAAGTAAATATATATATCACAGTGAATTTAATGCAGAGGACTTTGTTCGATCATCTAATTGTGATAAAAAGGATTTGCCTTTTGTAAACTCATACAACTCAGATGCTTTTATAATAATTTCAGCTGTGAAGCATGTCCTGTTGTTACAACAATGCAAATCATGGAGATAAATACGGTAAAGTGTGGCTGTGTTAGCAGACACTGATAGCTGAAGGACAGGTGCATTATCCACTCAGTCCCACAGAGGGGGGCAAGACAGAGAAAAGGCCATTGCAGGGCAAAAGGAGGCTGCATGAGACAAAAGGTAAAAACAGACAAAAGGTAAAGATGTAGGTGTGTGAAACTCAGGTTGGTATCCAGGAATAACCACAGGATCAACCAAGCCCCCTACCCAGCCTGTGAGGTGAGAGACCTCAGCTTTGGATGGCAGCCAGCTTAGAGGGGTTCCTACTTCGACACACGACCGCAGCAGAGGCCAGGGATGAAGCTATGGACGGATGACAGGATTGTATATCCTTCACCCCGGCAGACGAGGTTATAACAGAACATCCCAACCCACTACGTCTCAGAGGGCCACTACAGTCCTGTTATCCCCCCTCATTCATTTGTCTCTATTCTTTTCCAGGTCCTCTCTCATGCTGGGAGGCTTTGTATATGAGTAGCAGTATTTCAAATCACCTCCCTGTATCAGCGATGTCCTCTGGCCAATGTGACAAAAGCAGCAGGGTTGCTTTAGACCCATACAGCCACAATAAGGTGATTCTGTGGAAGTGCTCCACTTATAGATGATCTCTGTGCAGCTCAAATGTGAGTCCTGATAATACTGTTCTGCCACATAATAAGCCCTGAAATATTGTTTGACTTTAATAGCAGTGGTGCCATTTCAACTAATTGCAGCTGTTCCTGACTATCCACACAAGATAACCCAAATTAGTCTTTTCCCATGAGGTTAATTTTTTTTAATATATCCTAGATTAACTTGTGTATTGTATTATTGGAATGGAGAATACCTTTTAAAAGCAGCTTTAGACCTAGACTTTAGAATTAGACTGCTTTTATTGTTTTATAAAAAAAAATTTCGTTTAGTACAGTCCACAATTAGTAGATATTTTCTGCTTCATATTTTATTTTCTTCTTGAAAGAAAGTTTTTCAGTTCAACATCAGTGAGATGAAAGGCTGCCTTAAAGATGGAGGGTTTGAAATAAACTATTTAAAAAGTGTTAATGATTAGAGTTAACTATAAAATGTTTCATCTATTGTGTTTATTACATATTAAAGTAAAGTAAGCAAAATTCACCCTGACATACTTCTCTGCTTGAAAGTAAAAAAAGAAAATTTAAACATTTCGCTTCTCTATGATGAAACAGTTGAAACCCTCAAAGGTAAGCGTGTGGTGACTGTGTATTTATGCTGTTTATGTGTGCGTCCATGTGGAGTTGGCTGATTGATGCATAGATTCCTCCTCTTTAAACAATGCTATTATACCTTACTCTTCTCTTTAAACGTGATCATAAAATCAAGAATAATAGTACTAAGCCAATTAGTTCAGTTATGCAAATAGTTTCAGCAGGCAGCGAAAGACACCTGTTACCATGTTTTTTTCTGTAGCTATTGTAGAATTGAGTGTGGCCTTAATAACCGCATATAGAGATTTTTGAAGGATTTCAGGGAAGACCTGTGTCTGCTGACATGATATGTTGTCATGACATTTGAAGCGCTTTAAACTGTGGTAGTTAAATGCTATTTGGGATCATTTCTTTGTCAAGATTTAACAATGATTTTGCTTTCTGGTGATAAAAACATGGAATAAAAGCAGCTTTCTGAACATCAGGTTGGCCACATTAGAAGCTGCAATTAAGTTAGCCAAGAGAGTGAAACCGATGAAAATAGCTGGCAAGGCCAGTAACCAATTTCTTTTTGATAACATTACATATATATTCATACAAACTTAAACATCATGCCATAAGTTTAACATTTTTAGAGATTTAAATTTTTACAGGGCAAAATTTATATGGGTAAATGAATCAGAATTTTCTTATATTCTTATATTTAGACTAATTTAGGCAAGGCAAAGCAAGGCAAGGCAAGGCAAATTTATTTGTATAGCACAATTCAGTACAAAGACAATGCAAAGTGCTTTACATGATTAAAATACAGGAAGATAAAACAGAATCAAAGCAAGTAGGAAAAAAAATAAAAAAAAATACATAAAAAATAAATAAAATAAAAAATGCAGAAAAAAAAGTTTATTAAAAACAGTTGGATTAAAGAAAATATGTTTTAGTTGAACTGTTTAACTAGAACAGTCGAAGGCAATCCTAAACAAATGTGTTTTTAGTCTTGTTTTAATGGAACTCAGACTTTCCGCACTTTTACAGTTTTCTGGAAGTTTGTTCCAGATACGTGGAGCACAGGAACTAAATGCTGCTTCTCCATGTTTAGTTCTGGTTCTAGGTATGCAGAGCAGGCTGGAGCCAGAAGACCTGAGTGGTCTGGAGGGTTGATACACTGATAGCAAGTCTGTGATGTATTTAGGTGCTAAGCCATTCAGAGATTTATAGACTAACAGAAGTATTTTAAAGTCTATTCTCTGAGATACAGGGAGCCAGTGTAAGGACTTTAGAACCGGGGTGATGTGCTCTACTTTCTTAGTCTTGGTGAGGACACGGGCAGCAGCGTTCTGGATCAGCTGCAGCTGTCTAACCACTTTTTAGGCAGACCTGTGAAAACACCGTTGCAGTAATCAATTCGACTAAAAATAAATGCATGGGTTAGTTTTTCCAGATCATGCTGAGACATTAGTCCTTTAATCCTGGAAATGTTCTTCAGGTGATAGAAAGCCGACCTTGTAATTGTCTTTAAATGCCTTTGGAGGTTCAAGTCTGAATCCAGCACTACACCTAGATTTCGGGCCTGATCAGTGGTTACTAGCTGAAGCGACTGAAGCTGTGTGCTAATTTAGATCAATTAGGCATGGTTGTTTGTCCTGTGTGTCTCTGTGTTGCCCTGCGATGGACTGGCGACCTGTCCAGGGTGTACCCCACCTCTCGCCTGTAGACTGCTGGTGATAGGCACCAGCGCCCCTCACGACCCCACTCGGGACAAGCGTGGCAGATAATGGTTGGATGGATGGATAGATCAATTAGTTATTTTAATTCAACATTTAATCTCCAAAATACTTTTTTAAGCCCAAAGGTAAAAAAAAAAAAAAAAAAAACGTTGTAACTCATATTATAGGATTTTCTTGATGGAGTAAACTGACACAAAAATAGTATTTCAGAAAGAAGCAAAAAAGTAGTTTCCTTTACCTTTAATGAAGTTATTTTTAATTTTATTTCTAATCTCTTAAAATACCTCATTTACTTCAGTTCCTCTGGTCCATGTTGAGTGTGGTACACACCATGTCATCCAAACAGCACAGTGACTACCAGTAGACCTATACAGTATGTAGGCCCTTTGACTGATTATTGATTGTAGACACCTGTGATGCTAATTGGTGGACACATCTTGATTTGATACGTCCCTTTGTCAATTATAAGTCTTTTCTAGGGGTACCATCATTTTTGTCCAGGCCTGTGTCATGATTTCATCTGTTTAAATAATTCAGTTGAAGCATGGTTGAAAAAATGTTTTACTCATTTCTTTTCAAACATTTTTTATTTGTTATTACTTTTGTCAGATTTAAGTTATTTCTGTGACCATTGTGTGTGTTAAATTCAATTAACAGAGGGTACCAACAGTTTTTTTCCACATGTTTATAAAGTTGAATGTCATCTGTATAAATATGATAAGGCATTTCATAAAAAAAAATCTAATAACTCTAGCTAAAGGAAGGATATTAAAACAAAAACAACCAATAAAGTAATACAAACTT